CCTTCAAAATTACAAAAACAACAAAATTATTATTATTATTATTTTTTGTGAGGCAACTGGGGTAAGTGACTTACCCAGAGTCGCACAGCTAGTGAGTACGTGTCTGAGGCCAGATTTGAACTCATGTCCTCCAGACTCCAGGGCCAGTGCTCTATCCACTTCGCCATCTAGCTACCCCCGCTTCCCCCCCCTTTTTTTTTGGTGAAAGGGCTGACTTCTACAAAGGGTTATGGCCAATTGATTATAGTTGTGTTGCTCTTGGTATGGAACAATTACAGTATCTGGGAATTTTTCTGATTTAGAAGAAACTCAATTCCCTTTCGACATGAGACACTGAATTTCAGGAGCCCCAGGAGAGCTCGTCACTGGATCCTGTCAGAGAAGGTTTTGGAGAGGATTTTAGATTTGGAGCTGGATGACCCCTCAGAGGCTATCAAGTACATGCCCTTCATTTTACAGATGAGGAGGATAAATGACTTGCTCCAGGTCACATAGGAAGTGAGAGCCAGAGCCAAGCATCATACCCAGGTCCCCAGACCCCACAATCAGCACGCTTCCCACTACAGCATCAGCAAGCACTAGGCTAGGTTGAATCCAGAAAGGCTCCACAGTCCATTTTCGTTATATTCATGGCTCACAGGCAGCATGGGAAGGGGTAGGAGAAGAACTCTCAGTGTTCTGGAATCAGATTAAAATGTAAATTGGGAAATGTTTAACAAAATAAATAAAAATGCAATGCAACAAAGACACTGTTAATTTGTGTTTTTGTTTTTGTTTTTTTAAAGTCAATGTGTGGGCAGTAAGGATCTGTTTTTATCTGAGCTTGACATCAATGATATATGGGATGGTTCAATAAATTTAGCTCCTTTTTCAAAACATAATAGGATGGGACAATTCAAATGGAGCTTTCACATCCTGAAATTTCATGTTATCTTTTCTTTCAAAAAAAGACAAAATAACTATGCCTTTGCCAGTTATTTTGCAAATGTACCTATTTTTTCTTTTCCAATCGTTGAGTACCACAAAAGGAATAGCAAGAGGCTTCTTTTGGAGATTTCTGCATAAATCTAATTTTCACAGAATTAACATGACCTAAGGACTTACTACAAAGTGAAATGACTGATGTAAAATCAAAGCACCTTATAATCTTAATGGAAAGATGGCTTTTTAAAAAAATTGCAGCCAAAAAGCATCATGCCTGAGAAGCAGAAGAGCCTTGCCCACCATTTCTGCCAAATACCACCAAAAGGCAATCTGCAACTGTCTCACTTTTTTGTTTTTTTTGCTACAAAGTGAGGGAACTTGATTCAACTTCTCCAAATCTGGGGTTTCGAGTCACACAATTTGATCACCTCAGTGCTTTGCTGGGGCTCAGAACCCCTGGGGCTGGCCCTAGGTGGGGGCGAGAAGAGGGAGAGAGAAACACTAAAAGGGACATCACAAGATTCATTACCGATACAGATACAAGTGTGGATAACAAATTCCGGAGTGTCTTCTCTGCAATGTGAGACTGTTTTTTGTCTTAACTGCATTACTAAATTAAGTAGCCCATTAGAAGAAGGTACCCGTGACCTCAGCAATCATTTTATCCAACCACTTATTGATTATAGATGAGGAAACAAAAGCTCAGAGACAGCAAGTAACTTTCTTAAAAAATAAAAAAAAAAGCAGGGCAGGATTTGAACCCAAGTCTTTTGAGTCCAAATCCTATCATTCCTAGGACAGGATGTTACCCTAACTTTGTAACAATTGTTTCCTTTACTTTCCTGTACTATGACTCCACTGGGAGCCCTCAGTACACAGCTCACTGACAGGCCATTCATTGAGTAAATTCTAGAGAATCTGTCAATAAGTTGGTCTTGGTAAAAAAAAAAATACAATATTCTTAAAATCTGAGGCTATGGAAGTTAATTCTGGCACATGTGGAGAATTGAATAGGTGATTAAAAATGCTTGTAAATTGATTTTGGCAACTCAAGAGATTTTTAGGGTATTTTCTTAATATTCATTTTTTTTTTTTTTACTTCAAGTTCAAAATTTTCTCCTTCCCTCCAGTCCCTTCCCCAACCCTCAGTGAGAAGATAAGCAATGTGATATGGGGTATGTTCTTAAGGGGTAAAATGTACTTGCTATTTATTTACTCCTCCTACTGAGCATCTTCTTATAAATTCTTTTTGGTCTGGGTCTGTAACTACATAGGCCCATTCTACCAATACAGATCAGAACTTTTTCTGCAACTTAAGAGTCTCAGCTGTTGCAGTACTGTGGGCTTATCTATCAGTCATTAAACATTTATTAAAGGCACACTCCGTTGTAGGCCCTGTGCTAAGTGCTGGGGATACAAAGAAAGGCAAAAGTCAGTCCCTGGATTCTAGGAGCTCACAGTCTCATTGGGGAGATAACAGGCAAACAGCTATGCACGAGCAAACTACATACAAGATGAATAGGAACTAATCAACAGGGGAAAGCACTAAAATTAAGAGGGTTTAGAGAAGGCTTTCTATATATATTTCAGCTGGGCCTTGAAGGAATCCAGTGAAGCCAGAAGGCAGAGGTGAAGAGGGAGAACATTCCAGACATGGGGGCAGCCAGAGAAAGTGTCTGGAGTTGAGGGGTGGAGTGTGTTGTTCAAAACAGGCCAGTGTCACTGGATCAAAGAGTATGGAGAGAGAGAGAGAGAGAGTGTGTGTGTATGTGTGAGACATGAGAGGAAAGAGAGAGAGAGAGAGAGGAAAAGGAGGGGGACAGAGAGAGACAATAAGGGATAAGAAAACTGGAAAGGTGGAGGGGGTGAGGGAGAGGTGCTAGGCTGGATTTTATATTTGATCCTGGTGGTCATAGGGAGACACTGGAATTTATTGAGGAGGGGAGGTGACATGATCAGATTTGCAGTTTAGGAAGATCTCTCTGACAACTGAATGGAGAATGAACTAGAGTAGGGAGACTTGAGGAAGGCAGAGCAGGCAACAGTACAAGTGTGAGGTGATGGGGACTTGCACTAAGGGGGTGGCAGCTGTCAAGAGAGAAGGGGATGGATATGATAGCTGCTGCAAAGATGACATTAACAGCCTTATTAACTGATTGTATATAGGGGCTAAAAGATAGTGAGAAGTTGAAAATGACACCTAGCTTGGGAGCCTGGGGGACTAGGAGGATGTTGTTGCCCTCTACAACAATAGGAAAGGTAGAAGTGAGGAGGGTCTAGGGGGAAAGATGAGTTCAGCTTTGGATATGTTGAATTTAAGATGTTCACTGAACTTCCAGTTGAAAATAATAGGCAACTCCAACTAACCTGTTAAGAGATGTGAGACCAGAAGTCAGTAGAGAGATGTTAGGGTTAGATAAGTAGATTTGAGAATAATTTTCAGCATAAAGATAGTAATTAAATCCATGTAAGCTGATGAGTTCACCAAGTGAAATAGTGTGGAGGGGGAACAGAAAAGGGCCCAAGACAGAGCTCTGTGGGATATCAAAATTAATGGGCATGACTTGGACAAAGATTCAGCAAAGGAGAGATCTTATTCATTTCCCATGACTTATTCTTCTACCCCACTGGCTCAGCCCCACACTAAGATGGTCATACCCTTGATCGTGCCATCATGCCATAAATGTATCAGTTCCTTGTTCATGAACTCTGAAATTCCCTTATCTGATCACAGTCTATTGGGTTTCCACCTCTCTGCTTTCCAATACCAAACTGTGCTCTTTGTCCACTGTGACTTCCAATCCCCCAATGCCTTGGTTCTCCCTCAGGCCAACACCCCTGTATTAGTTCTATTCTCCTTCCTTCCCCATCTCAACCCCTTTGTGAACCGGTTCAACTCCATACTATCCTCTTCTCATATTGCTGATTTTGACCCTGTAGCCTTAGCCTTGAATCACTCCCACCATATGCCATCTTACCTCCTACACACATGCTGCTGAACAAAGGTAGAGAAAATAAAAAAAACCATGCTGACTGGTTGACTACAAATGTATTTTATATAACCTCAACTGGACCCTCACTGCAACTAGGAAATCCTTCTACACCTCCCTAAATAACTCACTATCCTACTCTTTATAGTGGCTCTTCCAAACCTTTTCAAACTTCCCATACTTCCTTCCCTCAATCCTCTCAGATGAGAGCCTTGCCTCGTATTTTAAAGCAAAAATTGAGGCCATCTCCTGAGAGCTCCCTCTCCTTACCTCACATCACCCAGACACCTTCTGCCACTACAGCCTCCTATATCAGTCTCACATAATGAGACTGACGGCTCTTGTCCTGGTTAAGCACTACCTGCTCACGTGATCCCATTTCATCTTGTCTCTTCCAACAGATTTGCCCCCTCAGTCGAGCCCACTCTTTCACTTGTTTTCAGTCTCTCCCTGTCTACTGACTGCTTCCCTGCTGCCTACAAATATGCTCATATCTCTCTTATTTTCAAAAAAGCCTCACTTGGTCCTTCCATTCCCACTATCATTCCGTACCTCTCCTGAACATTCAGTATGTCAGAAAGTGGGACCTGAATCTAGGTCTTTCTCATGCTGAATAGCTCTCTGCACCAACTACCACAGTACCTGATTAATTAGGTAATCACAGAATATGGTTACTTTTAAGACAGATCCCAGTAATTCAAGTCTTTTAAATATAAATTTGAAGTTGAAGGGTATTAAAGTTTTCTGTTTTCTCTCTGACCGTGCATTCATTTTGTCTTCTGGTAGGAACAATCAATAAATCAGGTTCACCCACAGGCTAGAACACTTCTCTGGTGGTTTGGATGAAGTCCTGCCCTTCCAATTGCTAGCATAAAAAACGATTTTCTTTTTTTTTTGCTATATCATGCGACATCTTCAGAGCCACTCAGGAGCCAATTCACCTGCTAAAAAATGTCACCACTTACCTGTTATAAAAATGATTAATCGTGCATCATAAGTATTCCTATTAGTAAACCAAAAGAAAGCCCCTCTCTACTTTAAGAACAAAGTTTCTGGGGAAGAGAGCATTGGACAGGATGGTCTTACCGTGAGTGTGGCAAGTGACATGAACCCTATCAGGTTGTTCCATGTCTTATCAATGTCCTTCAGCAGCTGCTGAAGATTTTCACTACACACTGCAGTAGCCTTGATTCCTAGCTCCACGCGTTTGGTTACCCTGTATACCTCGACAACACCTGTCAACAGAGAGAGTAAAGGTTTGAAATGCCAGGTGAAGATGTGAAGGTAATACCCTTGTTGGAACAAATAAATTGTCACAAAAGAGTCAAAAGCCTCACTGGCCCTAAAAACCCCACAAGGGCTTTACAAAGATCTGAACAAGGGCGCCATGCAAGCCTGGATACTTCATGGACCCTTTTTAGCATCTTTCAGGGTTCATCTGTTGCCATGCAGGCAGTTGTATTGATCTGACTGAAGGAGGAACATAAAGTCTAGTTAAGGGAAGAAACTCAAACAACATAGTAAGAATCCAGAAACCACACTTTCTGATCTTACTCCCATTTTATCACTGTCCTGGGATGCTTCTGTGTCCTCATTTTCTCCATTTGCAAATGTCATTCTAACATGAATTATATCTGACTCGAGGTTTTGTTAATTAAAAATGCTTCACAGCATATATGAAACAGACAATAAAAATTTAAAGCACCATGTTCAATAAGCAAAACACAAAGTTACATACCTAATAAATATTCCATGCCCTGTGCTGACTGAATTACTTCTGTGCAAACAGATGAACTACTGATTCCATTTAGAGTGTCATTTGCCTTCTTAATGATCTAAAAGACATGACATGACAATGTCACTAGATTATCTCTAATAAAAAAGTGATCAATGACACAATCAAAAGTGAATATTGCAAAATTATAAAGAAAAACCACAACCCCAAGGAAGAGATGTGAGAAGACACCTTCCCTAACTCTTTTGCAGAGATGAGAGGTCCATAAGTATGAAACACTGAATATATTTTCAGTTTTTTTGATGTATAAATCAGTTTTGCTGGTTGTTTATCTTATCATTTTCTTTTTTTTCTTTAAAAATATTCTTTGTTATACAGGATGGCTTTCTGGTGGGGGTGGGGAGGAGGGGAATGCTTATAGTTGGAAATTTAAATGATGTAAAAGAATCAATAAAAATATATTTAAAAAATGGTTAATAGTAACAAAAATAAATTTACTATTGTTGTTCAACCAAACTGAATAGCCAGAAAATAAGATTATAAGCCTGGTGGTCAATATATTTTTACATAATTTTCTACTGAAATACAGACCTATGTGATCCATAACTTACAAAGAAGTTTATAAAGATCATAAGATTTAGAGCTGGCAGGGCCCGTCAGAGATTATCTAATCCATTTCCCTTATTTTATATGAAGAAACTGAGGCTCTGAGAGAGTTCAAAAGATTTACCCAAGGTCACACAGATAGGCAGAATCTGAGGCAGGATTTAATTTTATTTTCTAACTTCAAATGGAGTGTTCTTTTGCAGTATATTGCACTACCCTCTGAATTTTATTAAATCAAGAAGAAATCATCCTGTTACTCTTGTCCTCCTGCCACTGTATTCTCTCTACTCTCCTCCCTGCTTTAGAATGATAAGGTTTGTGTTTTGCTCACAAAATCTCTAACTTAGAGATTATTTTACTTGAGCAATAAAGTTAAAGGTAGTTCATCATCTCAAACACAGCTGAAGGTACATAAGGGAATACTGGTTTGGTAAGCCAAACAAGAGAAGTCTCATTTAGGTGGGTGAATTTTCAAAGAATTTCATTTTGGATATCTGATACCAATAATGCTACAGTAGTCATTAGAATTAGGATATTATTCCAGTTCTCTCTTCTGAACATCCTTACTCAGTGCTATGGAAGGTAAAATGTGGCCTAGGAAAAAAACTACGTACCTGAAGGCATCTTAACTGAAAGCTATATACTCACATGTAGAGCACTTCCCAAACATCTCTGCCATTCATAAGCATATCTTTCACTCTCCTGTTAAAAAAAGAAAGGACTATTTTAAAAGGACGATGGACAAGTTGGACATGATGCTTTCTATTTCTGCTTACGTAATTTTAATTCAATGGATGTAAGAAAGTTTCCTCATTTGCTCGTGATTATTACAGATCAAACACATACCTTAATGGATTGTCCTCTGGAGACTTTTATTCTCTTACAAATAAAAGCAACATCAGAGCATATAAATACATTTAAGTGCTTTCTATGTGCAAAGCACTGTACTAGGTATTGAGGGAGATAATAGTTTGACTAAGTCAAAGTACTTAATCTCAAGGAGGTAAAAATCTAATAGAAGGACCAGAAACAGATTGTAGAAGAACTTGAAATGCCAGGTAGAAAAGTTTGAACTTTATTTTGGACCAACAGCACAGTTTGAGGAAAAGACTGACATAATGAGATTTATGTATAAGAAAAATTATACTAGCAGCTATGTGAAATACTGGGAAAGGACAGTAGAGGTGGAAAGATCTCTAAGGACGATACACCAATGGTTAACCATAATAAAGGCCTCTACTAGGGTGGTTGCAATGATAATAGGGAGGGGACAGATATTTCACCCAGAATAGGAGGACCTAGCAACTGACTGGCTGAGGGAAGAGAGAAAGAGGAATCTCCAGGAGGTTCCAAATGTGGGAGAGTGCAGGTGAATACAGGGGCTATAGAAAGAAATAGCGAAGCTTGAAGAAGGCACAAATTTAGAGGGAAAGATGACAAACTTTTTTTTTTTGGATACAGTGAGTTTTACTTACGGGTGGATCATTAAGGCAGAGATCATCTATAGGAAGATAGAGATGGGGATTTAGAACTCAGAAGAAAGGTCAGGACTACGGACACAAAGTTGGGACTTTGTTAGCACAGAGTTGGATAGCTGAGACTGTTAAGAGTGAGACTACAAGAGAGAAAGAATGTACCAAAAAAGGTCAAGAATCAACTGTTTGGGGAAATCTTTTAAATGATATAAAGAAGCTGTTCAAGGGATAGAGGGGACAATGTGGCATAACGAAAAAAATAATGCTGAATTTGGAACCCAGTCAACATGGACCTTGAATCTTGGTTCCATGTGACCTTTGGCAAGTCACTTAACATTCTGGTTTTAGTTTTCTCATCGGTAAAATAAAGGGCCTGGAATAGAAAACCTCCAAGGTTCTTTCTAGCTTTAGACCTATGATCTTAGGAAAAGTAGGGGAGTAAGATATCTCTGAAGCCAAGTGAAGAGGGAATACTCAATACTGGGTTCTGGGAAGTCAATAGTATCAAAAGCAGCAATGAGGACTAAATAAAGGCTATAGAATTTGGTGATTTGTTGATCAGATCATCAGTGGTGACCTTTTTTTTCCCTTCTGCTTTTTGGTGAGGCAATTGAGGTTAAGTGACTTGCCCAAGGTCACACAAAGTAGTGACCTTTGAGAAAACAATTTCAGTAGATGGTGGGAATGCAAATCTTGCTGCAGGAGTAGAAGAGAATGTATGTAACAGCAAGTAGTGGCATGAGTTTTAAGGATCATGAGAAGGCTTTTTTAGGTTGGGGAGGCCTGCACATGTTTGTGGACAGATATGGAAGAGCCATGTTGAAGATGCATGAAAGAGTAGGACTAGCAGCTGGATTAGAGTTGAGGGGGGAGGGACAGCAGCAAGGAATGGGATCAAAGGTACTGGTTGACAGATTAGATTTAACAGGCACTAGGAAAAGCAAGTCTGTGGAGGGAGGGTAGAAGGAGAAGTAGGGAAAAATAACATTGAGGTTTGAATAAAAAGAATTAAGGCCACACTTGATGGCCTCAACCTTCTCAGCAAAGCAAGAGACTTTGCCATCTGCTCTAAGTATGGGGTTATGGGCATGTTTAGCATCAAGAAGAAAGAAGAAAAGGTCTGAAGCAGTCGTTGAAAGGTAAGGACAGGAAATCAGGAAGGGGGAATCTGTTTTACTTGATGAAATATTTGTTGCAAAGGTTTCAGTTTTTCTTTTGTCCTCAATGGAGGTGGTGGGAAAGAAAATAAATGCTTAACTGAAAGAAAAAAAAGGCAAGTACAACAGGCTTGTCAAACAGCACTAAAAGCCTAGCTGTAATTATACCACAAATCTGTAGTGGGGGAAATTAGCTCAGTTTCACTTTCTCTGTTGAAGTCAAGAACAGAGAAAGGTCAAGATAAGCACTAAAAGTAGGTTTCAGAATGAGGGTAGGAGAAGTAGGAAAGGAGACTATGGTCAAAAAGCAGAATTTCAAAGCTCCAGATCTTGGAGGAGGGCAAAACTCTAAGAGCTGGTCAGGTATTAGATTTGCCCATATCTGTGTGGGCCTGAAATAGGGCAGAGAATGAGTCCACTAGGATTGAGAAGGTTGAGGGATTTTGTGATCAAGTTATAATGGCTGATCTGCTAGTTTAAACCTGGAGATATTTAAACATTTTTATAATGCAATGGAATAGCATTTCAACATTTTCATCCTGGTCCTCATGTTCAAGATAATAACAACAATAGTTCATATTGATGAAGAGCATTAAGGTTTGCTTAATTTGATTTTAAATATTTTCTCATTTGATCCCCACAACAACCAAGATAGGTGCTCTTATAATCCTCATTTTATAGATAAGGAAACTGAAATTCAGAAAGGTTAAGTGATTAGTCGACAATATTTGGACCAGTTGCTTTGAAAATATTTGTTAAAAGAAAATCAGAGTCTGTCTACCGACCAAGTCATGATGATTCTTACTTAAAATAAAGGCTAGGTGACGAATACATGATTCTGACTGCGACTGTGGTGTTTAGAGCTAGAAAAGATTTGAGATCATCTAATACAACCTCAACTTACAGATCGAAGAAAACTGAGATCCAGAAATGTTCCCTCTCCCACCCGTGCCCCACCAAGGTCACACAGATAGTTAAAGAGCAGAAATGGAATTTGAACACAGGGCCTTCGATTCCAAATCCAGTGCTCTTGCCATGATACCACACCAATAGAAATACAAGCATCACATCATCTCTGTGCTTCAAAGGTAAAATGACTGTAAAACTATTAACTACAGTGGCTAAGACGCAACAAGCGTAGCTAACCGGTAAGATTGGCGTATTTAGAAATGAAGGCACAACTCCCCATCCCAGGAATCCCAGGAACACAGTCTGAGTCCCACACTGACTCCATTTACAGGATGCTATTTTTGAGGAGGTTCACAAATGGATTCACATTTTCATTACATCATCTTCACTGCAGCTGATGCCTCTCCCAATGAAATCACAGGAACAAAGAAAATTTTCTCAAGTTCCTTAAGAAACACTTTCTTCATGTGAAATTATAAAAGTGCCATGTCCTGGGAGCAAAGCCCAGGCAATCTACATGTCTCGTGTGTCAAGTAATCATACTTACTTCCACCTCCCCAGTTAGGTCTTTGTATTTATCCCGGATAACAGGCAGAGCAGGCTTTTCACTGAGAGTGTTGGAACGATCTCTGAAAGGTTGCTCTGAAGCCGGAGATGGAGAGGAACGGCTTATTTCTTTATCACCAAGGCTCAAACTTCTCTTGTGAGACCCTAAGAAGTATTGAAAGGGCAATCAAAAGGTTTCTATTACTTAATGTTTCATGACTTTAGACTCTATTGTAAACTCAGTCAGGGAAATCTTAAGACAAAGTATTTGTATCTTTCAGTATTTTGAAACACATCATTCCCCAATTGATAAATGATCAAAGGATATGAACAGGCAGTTCTCAGATGAAGAAATTAAAGTCATCTATAGTCATATGAAAAAATGCTCTAAATCACTATTGATTAGAGAAATGCAGATTAAAACAACTCACGGTACCACATCATACCCATCAGATGGGCCAAGAAGACAAAACAAGAAAATGATAAATGTTGGAGAAGATGTGGGAAAACTGGAACACTAATGCGTTGTTGGTGGAGTTGTGAAATGATCTAACCATTTTGGAGAGCAATTTGGAACTATGCCCAAAGGGCTATAAAAATGTGTATACCCTTTGACCCAGCAATAGCACTCTAGGGCTACATCCCAAAGAGATCACACAGATGGGAAAAGGACCTACATGTGCAAAAAATATTTATAGCAGCTTTTTCTTTTTTTTTGGTGAGGCAATTGGGGTTAAGTGACTTGCCCAGAGTCACACAGCTAGTGAGGGTTATGTGTCTGAGGTTGGATTTGAATTCAGGTCTTCCTCACTCCAAGGGCAGGTGTTCTATCTACTGCGCCACCTAGCTGCCCCAATAGCAGCTCCTTTTGTGGTGGCAAAGAACTGGAAATTGAGAGAATGTCCACCAATTGGGGAATGGCTGAACAAGTTGTGGTATATGAATGTAATGGAATACTATTGTGCTATAAGAAATGATGAACAGGCAGACTTCAGAAAAACCTAGAAAGACTTGTATGGTCTGATGCTGAGTGAAGTGAGCAGCACCAGGAGAATGTTCAACACAGTAACAGCCATGTTGTGCTATGACTAATATTGATAAACTTAACCCCTCCTAGCAATACAAGGATCTAAGACATCTCCAAAGGCCTCGTGATGGAAAATGATATCCACATCCAATGAAAGAATGATGGAGTTTGAATGCAGATCGAAACATACTATTTCCTATTTTTTTTTCTTCTGTTGAGTTTCATTTCCTCTTTCTGGAAAGAGGTTCCTCCTATTGGTTCTACTTCTTACTTACAACATCACTAATGTGAAAATGTTAAATAGGAATGTATATGTATAGCCTATATCAGACTGTGTGCTGTCTTGGGGAGGGAGGGGGAGAAAAATTTTAAACTCAAAAGCATATGGAAGTGATTGTTGATAAATCAAAATAAATTAATTAAAAAAAAAAGAAACACAAATTTCCTTTTGCTATTCATTCTGTCTGGGAAGCTACATATTGATGTTTTTCAATCTTCCTTCTTTGATCTCAATTCTAGAGGCCATGGACATATGCCTTTGATTTTTTTTTTGAACCCAAAATACTGAATTTATTACTGATTCACTTCTCCCAATCTCCCAAAAGCATTTGTTTGCAAGATGGCATTAAGAGGTATGGCCCACACATCAGAATCAAACCTATGACACCTCGGTTTCCTTAGCAGTGTGCTCTAACCAAGTGAACTACTAGCTACATACTATTATCTAGGTTTCTTTAGCCCACTAAACATCTTATCTCACTGTATTTGTCCTACTGGCCTCAGCTCAGTCCTAAAGAAACTCATTCAACCTTTTCCCGTAGACACTAATTTCATGCCGAGAAAATATTTCTTTCACTTAGTGACTCTGATCAACACAATGACCAACCACAATTCCCAAGGACTCATGATGAAAACATGCTATCCACCTCCAGAGAGTTGATGGATGCAGAGTACAGACTGAACATACTTTCTTCTATTACTTTTTTTTTTTGGACATGTTTAATGTGGAAATTTGTAATGAATTTTGTTTTTCCTTTTTTTTCTTTTTCTTTTTTTTTAATTTTTTTTTTTTAAGGCAATTGGGGTTAAGTGACTTGCCCTGGGTCACACAGCTAGCAAGTGTCAAGTGTTTGGTCTGAGGCCGGATTTGAACTCAGGTTCTCCTAACTTCAGGGCTGGTGCTCTATCCACTGCACCACCTAGCTGCCCCTGGATTTTGTTTTTCTTGCCTTTTCAGTAGGTGTGGGGGAGGGAGAAGGGAGAGAATTTGGAACTGGAAATAAAATAAATTGAATTTAAAAAAAGAAAATGTTTCTTTCCTTGGTAATAGGAAACAAAATATTTATAATTAAGAAAGAATATTTAACACCAAGAGGCAAAACCATGACAGCAAAATCGGCCCTTAATTTGCTCACCTTGAACGGAGAGGTCAAAAGTAGCCAGTTCATTTTTGATCATTTCTTCACTAGATTTCATCTTGCTTTGTGTATTAGCCATCAGAAAGTCAAATTTACTGATTTTGGGCTTTTCACTTTGAAACTCTCCAAAGTCATCAGGGCATTCTTTTGGAGTTTCCTGAGATACAACACTGGCAACTGACACTGAATACATGGTTTCTTGGCTCTGTTCGGTTGCGGGTAGGTCCTGTGTTTTTATGAAATCCCCACTCTTGATGTCTCTTTGTTCAACGGGCTGGGAAATACTATTTTTAAAGTTTTCAAAAGCTGAAAACGTAGCCTCGGGGAGAGTATCATCACTTGGAAAGGTCGTCACTTTGGAAACTGTTGTCATGGTAATGTTTTCTGAACTGCCAAATGAAGTCTCTTTCTTCTGAAGAATTGAAGTAGCTGAGGAGGAACCACTTCCTGCTGAGAGGGCAAACGGAGACAGCATTCTGCCAGGAGAAGCATCATCCCTGTCAGACCAGTCATAGCTTGCAAGGGTACTCCCTGCAGAATTGCTACCATAAGTCCCCAAAGTAGCATACTTTAAGTCGTCGACATCTGAAAGGAAAATAAGACCACACAATTAAAGAAATGCTCATTATCTAAGTAGAATTCCCTAAACTATGCATATGTGAAATGTATGGAGCATCAGGTTTGGAGTTTTATGTTATGTTGGAATAAACTAAAAGTACACCTCAGGTCAAAGTGGGATTGAGGTTTATATTCAACTATATGAAACCATTTTCTTTGGGTATGAAAAGAGAAAACCATTACACATAAGACTACTAATTATGTGTTGTTTATGATAAAACTTTTAGATCTTTTGTAACTAATGTATGGATAACTATGTATATAAAATAAATCATTAATAACACACTACTTGGTTGGAAAAAAACAAAAAACAAAACAAACCAAACTTGTCACTTTAACTATTTACCTTTGTCCCGACTTTGCCCAGAAAATGCTCCTCAGAGAACACAAGTGTAAGAGAAAGAAGAAAAGCATATGTATATGTACAGGGTAATTAAAAAGAAAAACAAAAGATTTCTAACATTAAAATTAAGGTGAAAACGTCAATACAGGTCCTACCTTTTAATTAGTAAGGACTTTGTTTCAGACTGAACCAAAAATGCTCTAAGTGGGGCTTCAATTAGGCAGTTACTTACCCGTCATTATTTGGGCCACTGTGTGCTTCCCACTGTTGTGACAGGTGTGAGGAAGGAAACAATCCGATCATCTACTTTAGCCCATAAAACTGTTTTTAATAACAAAGGTCTGGTTCTTATCAAGCTGCCTGCTTCTTATTCAACTTTTTCTTCCTCTTCTTCTTCTTCCTCATCTCTTTTTTTTCTTTCTTTTTTAAGTGAAAACCCCAAGCCAGAAAACATAATACAAAGCATCTAAAATCCAAGTATGTGCTTGGTATGTTTTTGCTGGCACTAACAAGTGAGAGCTTAAACAGGGCTACTAAAAACATGAAGTAGATATTTGTGAATGAAATGAAGCTAAATTACTGCTTAGTGTCTTAAATGAAATGGTTTCCAAGTCAAAAAAAAAAAAAAAGAAAGAAAGAAACAACAAACTACTACTTGTGGGAGAAGGAAAGGCAAAAGGGTTTCTTAATGGGTTTTCAAATAGTAACCATGAAGTTAAATATGGCTGGTTTGAAGAAGTTGGTACTGTCAGCATGCTTTTTCCTATGGCATGATTGGGCCTATGGGCTTAGACTGTTTAAAATGCACCTCTTCTCACTTGAATACTACTACCTAGGTGAGGCAGACAAGTAATATGTCAGCTTCTCAGACTCATATTTATTATCCACCATCCCACTCTGCCAGGCTAGCATACCATTCTGTTCTTTTTTCATAACCAGAAACACTGGGTTAGTTAAAGGACATGAAATCTCCATAGCCGTTTGCATAGAATATCCCAAATCTCTCTCTCTCTCAATTCAGTTAGGTAAAGGGAATTAAGATAATTTTTTTTTAATCTGCATGCTTAAAAAGGAACACTTTCCAGGAAATTAAGTGTCTTTCACAGGATGACAGGGTTTTACATGTTACCCCTTCAATTATGGCTCATTCAAAAAATCAAGTTGAAAATATGGTGAATTCAAATGTACAGAAGATAGCACTATCACTATGAAGAAAAATCCAAGTGTGAATGCTCTTATCTCTCCTCCTTAAAGGTAACAACAGGTTCTCAAATAAGGTGAAATTTAAATAGAAGGCTGTTTCAACTAAATGTAATCAGTGCCTTCAAGTGATAGATTGAGGAGAATATTTTACAATGGGGACACTTATTATTGGAATATAGCAGAATGATAGTTCATGAAGCTATGTTAAGAATTGGTTTCTATCATCCCATCTACTAAAAAAAAATTAGAAATTTCCTAGATGTTGGAAATCAACTTAATGAAAAATTAGCTCCAGTTAAAAATTGCAAGCCAGTTTCCATGGAAATAAAAAGCTCCCTTGTGCAATTATGGCAATAATTTAAAAAAAAAACCATGAATGATTGTATATAATTATAAAAATAGCATTTTAATTAAATAGTTAAGCTGGCAAGACTGAAATTATTTGTATAACTACACACTCAAATCTTCAACAAATTCCAATTCAAAAAACAAGACCAGCAAAAACATATGTTTTGTAATAAATCACAGAAATATCCCAAATAAGATACATGCCAAGAGTTGGAAAATTTTTTAAGAATTTTAAAATAATGAGCAGTTAACCTACTTAAAAATCAAAAGTTGATTTTCAAGTGTCTACTTTTTCTAAACTGGTTTGTAAATGTCAAGTATGGGAAAAAAATCACCAGCTAAAATTGTTATTTTGTATGCTGGTTTACTTTTAAAAAGTTAAAAAATGTTTACTGACATCATCAGGAATGTCATTGTGATTGCTAAAATCTTAACATTGCTAAGGAGTACAAAATCTCTGTGACATCTGTGCATTTTCCTTCAAGGTAAACTTTACAAGCATTTCATTCCTCCCCCATCCTCACTCTACATATATATACAATATATATCTTAGAGTATAATATTCTTCATAATACTGAAGAGATTGCCAAGCTAAGACTTTCTGTAAGAGATACGGTATAAATGACAGGAAAATTGTCTGGCAAACTAAGGTTACACCTATTACCTTACATTATGTAATCACTGAAGCTTCTATAGCTCAGTTTTCAATTTGACAAATTGTGATAGAAAAAGGAAAGAAAAGCAAGAAGAGTCTGAAACACAATAAAATGAACCAGGAACAAGTACTGCATTTCAAATTTTGGAATATTCTTGGATTGTACTAAGTTGGGCCATAATTGAGCTCAAGAGAATGCACTTATAACTGTGTGCTTTAAATATACGTATTTATGTTTGATACCAGGCATGTCCTACAACATCAACTTCTTCAGTGTGCCTAGGGGATAGAACAAAGCAAAGAACTATACAATCTGCTTTTTCACCATGGATCACAAATCACATATGGATTTCTTGCTCATGCTATAGCAGTAACATTAGAGATTCCCACCAAAACCTATATTTACATTCCCTTGAACAAATGTTAGTCGAAACACTTGTTCTTTTTGTTGCATGCACAAAAAATTCAATACTTTCAAAAGCCAATTTTGAGATGAGACTTCTGAAACAACAATATATTTTAAAAATTAATTTTGAATTTTAGATCAATGTTGGCAAAAGGTACACTCTAAATAAAAAGATAAGAGTTCATACTATTACCACTTTTACTGTAGGAAGCACAGGGTTTGGGAGTCATTTCCATTTAGAGTTTTTCTAAAACACCAGGCACATGTCCAGATAATCAAGACAAGTGTTCTGGAATGGGGACAGAGAATAAATTCCATTATCCCAGGGATAGAGTCTCATGGGGTAACAAAAATGTCTACTGGATCAGGGAAGAAGGATCATTTGAATCTCAATATTAACCTGAACCTCATCTACCACAACCTACTGTGTAATGTTAATTTTCAGTTTCTCTCATCCCCTAGTTTCATACTACCATCTCAGAATAGCCAAAAGTCTGATGTTCTTTACTAATTATAAATCTAGTCTGACATCAGTCTATGAAAAGTCACAAAGTTGTTGGGATTGGTGCTGTTGAAGAAAAGAATGACAGATCATAGAAGATTTCTGACAAGCTATTAAATGGTGACACAGAACTGCTTTCCAGTATTACTTATATACATAAAGGCTGCCATTTTTCATTTGAACTGACTAGTATAAATTTAATTACCCATCTTATTTTATATCCACATAATCCATAAACAAGTTACAATTTCTATGATCCCTACATTAAGCTTGATAATGTTAAGTGGCTACCTAAAAAAGAAGAGGATGAAGGACTGCTGACATCTTTCACATTCATGCCAACAACTCAGGAGGGTGGAGAAGACTAGTAGCTAGGTGGTCACCATTAGGCAACTGATCAGAACCCCAAACGCTGTCCCATCCACTCCCACGTTGACTAGTATGGCAATGCAACAGAGACACAGACTGTCCTAGAGGGCAACATGAGGGAGTCCTCCCAACTAGAGACAGAACAATTCCACATGGTCCAAGGTTGACTTCTTTCAGTAACACATTTTCTATTCTTAAAAGTTCCATTGCATTTCTATAGCATTTGCAGAAGAACTGTCTAATGTACTCAACTGAGAAAAATAAAGATTCCAACTCATTCCTTAGGAAACACAAAATAATTTGACCTTTTAAAACAGGCTGAAAATTCAACATCCTTCCCTGTGATTCTTTTTCACTTCAGTTGTCTTTTAGGCCCTGCTGATTGTTAGAAATATGCAGGACCTTTAAGATGAACTTATCAATTTGTTATAGTGGACATTAATTTACCAAGAAACAATTTATCAATCACATACTAAGGATGGCTTATGGGTCACTGTGCTATACACACACAAGAGCATTTTCCATAAAAGTGCTTCTGCTTTCTGTCCTTTAGATGTGGTTATACCAAATAATCTGAATTCATCCCCAGAAATTCATTTTCAATACATAGTAGACTCCCTTCTCCAGCTATCTTGTTATAACTTCTTGCCTCAGTTAAATTTCCTTTATTTTTCAATCAAGAATGAAGTCTTCTGATTTAAAATTTAGTGTAGAATATTTACCACCCTCCACAAGGTTTTTAACAATACCTACAGGTTTCTCCTCCATTCTGCTCTAAAACAGCATATACATTTGACTAACACAGGCTCCTAAGTTGTATTGGTAGCTCTGGAAATTGGTTTTAAAATAAAAACGTTTTAAAATATGGATTCTGTCTGACACATCCAAAGTTATTTTGGGAGTGAGGGGAATTCATGTTTCATAGATTATTAGTAGTAAATGAAAACTTAATCAGACTTCAAACTAAATTCTGATGCTTGAAAAAAAAAAAGTGCTCTGAAATACCAGAGGACATAGGAACTAATTCTGAATCTAGCTCACATTCAGGCCTTAAGCCCTCCAGGGATTAGCTGTAAACAGTTTTCACTGAAGGATCATCAATTTAAATTCAGAGCAGGTCTATGGTGACCAAAAGTCATGTCAAAACCATTTGATGAGCTATTTTGAAATGAATTTGTAGATACCTTGTATGGATAGGCTCTTATAATATTTATTAAACCATAAAACACACTCACATGGTTCCTCCCTCCAGAAAAAATCAGAGAAAGCTTACTTTAAAAAGGTAGGGGGGTTCTCCAATATTTAAAAGGAACAGTACAAGTCCAATATCTACAAAAAGCACGTGAAAGGACTTGTTATCAATGGAATTAAAAAAAATTTTTTTAAATACCCTCTTCCCAAACAGCTACAGTATTTCTATAGGAAATGGGAATTGGGATAATCTAAAACAAAGAAGCAGCAGCTCTGGGGATACTACTGACTCTGAACTTAGGTATGGCTCAAGTTCTATCTCTATGTTTTATCTTCCCCAGGTACAAATTACACACACCCCCACACTTTCAAAATATGCCAAGGTATTATTTATTAACACAGGACTTACAGATCACAAAAATGATAGTGATACAGAAGAGCTCAAAAGGGAGTCATCAGAATAAGCATGCAGGTCCAGTATTTGCAGAGGAATATACTAACGCAAGTTTGAGAAGGCACATTCACACAGAAAATGTTTAAATTGAAAAAAGACATCAGAAAAGCAGCAAAAAACCAGGTATTGATTAAAATACAGAGATTTTTAATGTTAAAGAAGAGCTACTACACAGGGAGGCAGATGCAGCTGGTTTGCTAACCCTTTCATAATATTACAAATAAGGGTGAGCTCCTGCTGCAGTTAAAATAGAATAAGATGGTCTTAACTCGACTGAACATTAATCAAAATATTTAAATGAAGAGGTTAAATTTAGAGGGGAAAATATCAAAGCACTCTAGTCAAAACTATATGCAGTAAGTACTCAAAGTGTTAACTTGAATATATGCAAGAAATCAGGCAAAGTTATTAGTATTATCTATCTTCCATACAAAGAATTATAGCAAAGTATAAAGAGACAGTATCCTTTTACAGAGTTAACTTAGGTCACTCAATAGGATTAAGGTCCTCAGAAATTGAATTTTATTCCCTCTTTACCAGCTCTAGTGAAGTCCATTGCTTATTTCCCTACTAAGGAATTTATGCAACCTACAAACTCAGAGGGTAGGATACTATGATGTTCATTGGTAAAGTCAAATCAGCTTTCAAAATTCATTGCCATTGATTCCCTTTAACACTTTAATGCAGTAATTTTGTGCACCTTGAAGGTAGCACAATGGTCAGACAACAACCCTTGCTAACGACTCTAAAGGGATACTGCTTCTTTCTGACATGAAATTTACAGATCAAAGGGAGGAGGAAACAATATGCTTTTAAGAATATATGCAAACTGAAGAGACTTGGCTTGAACATTACAGGTTCAAAGCTGGAAATGTTCCAAACATACATAAAAGAACACGAGCACAGGAGGTTATTTTAACAAATAAATCAGAGCAAGCTCAGTTAGAAGACTAAAACAGAAAAGGGCTGGAGTAAAACTCTCCTTGTGAAAACATTTAGCTTGGCATTGTGAAAGAATACAGACTTACTTTCAGAAAAATAGCTTCTAATTAATAACTTCAGTGTCCAAAAGTACCCAGGTTACAAGCTATTATTTTTAGATATAAATGAAGACAATTTTCACAAAACAGAGAAGTCTGCAATTAACTGTCATAGCCCAAAAGCTAGCTTGTACAAAAAAAAAAAAAGCAAAATCACCGTATTGAAAAAGAAAAAAAAAAGAGAAAAATATTTGAGAAAAAGCACATTAAAAAATAAGTAAACATTCAAGAGTATGAGGTGCTATTTGGAGAGTCTGCTGCATTTAGAACACTTTGCCAAGCAGCAACATGAAATATGAACGTCTTGCTAATTGCTGCTGCTCCTGGTTTCAGAACCCTTGCCAGGAACATGTCCTGTTCATGTCCTGCACACACTCAGGGACCCAAGAGAAAGATCCAGGTTTGTTTTCTGACATAAAAATACCATATGATGCAAAACTACAGAACTATATAATTTTTAGTCCAGATCTGTAAACTTGGAAGAAATTTCTCTTATGGAAATAATTGATCCTTACAGTAATAATTCTTACAGTTAACAGTGTGTCCCCCTCCCATTCAAAAAACTTTCAAATGCATAATGCTTTCTTTATAATAATACAGTAATACTGAGATAGTTCTCATTATTAAAGGCCACAAAATAGGTTTAACTGTCTCTCTATGTACATATCAAAAGAAAAAAAACTAGGACACTTGGGAAATTAGTTTTTATGCTATGAAGTAAGACTGGATACACTTGTTTCATATGTTTTTCTACTATCTAACTTCATAGAGAGTTTAAAGAGGGCCACTTAATACGATACATTCAGCTAACTGATTTTCACCAAACAGCTAGCTAGTGCTCATCTATCCTAGCATTGACAGATTTGTTATAATTAAATGATACTATTAATGTTAACACTGAAAATTGTGATTTCACTGACAGTAACAATGCATAACTTCCTTCTTTGCCAGTACCTGAAACACATGGCATCAGTACAGTCTTTTTTCTTCCTTTTTTGAAAGGGCATATTACAATGCTGGGTTGTTTAGTTAGAAGCTTTTACTCTTGGCATAGAATGTGCTTCTGTAAACCCAATTAGAACATTAAGTTGATCACTTCTGGGTAGCTGTAAAATTTGCCCGTAATACAAGAGAAAGCAAGAGAGGTACACTGACCTCACAGGCAGAACTGGAGGAGCACTGCTAACACTGAAAACGTTTGTTCAAATCCCTGGCAATGCTGGGCTTCTCTAACTGTTAAGTGTTAATGTGCCTTAGCGACACCAAACTGGTGTTAAGATCTCAAAACCAAAAGTATTTTAACTATCCAATCTCAGCAAGTGGTCACAAAAGTCAACAATTACAGTGTTTTGGAGGAATACTGGCAACTAAGGAGTTTGCTATGAAAGAACCTTTCACAATGGTAAAGGGTCAGAGCATTAATACTGTAAATCAGCAACACAGAATTATCTTTGAAATCTACGACTATCACCAGAGCAATCGCACCAATTCCTCACCTGCTGCAGGCGGATGCTGGCCACTAACTGTGGGCAAATCCAAAGAGCTATCAGACATGACATGCTTAAGATCTCCTCCTACATCAGCTAGTTTCATGTCAAACTGGACAGATAGCGCATCTTCAGAGTCCTCCTTGCCAACACTGCTACCACCAATGGAAGGCAGGTCCAAAGACTTCACTGAAGCAGAGTCTTCTTTGGCATGCCTGAAAGCTACCACTTTTTCCACCAGAGATTTATCTGAATTACCACACAGAGATGAAAATTTGTTTGAATGGAAGTCAGCAAAGTCGTCATCACTTTTCCCTGGAGGGGTACTATCTTTCAACTCCTCAACACCTATTCCAGAGCCCTCCAGAGAAAGCTGTTTGAAGACATCATATTTGGTTGGAGCAGCAGTTGAAGAGTTTTGCCCATTTCTCATTGTGTTGCCTATGCTGCCAGTCAGAGGAACAGTGCTAGCTTCTTCTTTAAGAATATCGTATTTATCATCTGCCTTATGCTCACACAAGCCGGAGCTATTATTGAAAGCCATAAAATCTGCAAAGTCATCCTGTCCCCCAACAGATGCTGAACTGGAATATCCCCCAAAAAGGCTGAATTCTCCAAAGTCATCAGCTAAGCTAGAATTTTTAGTTGGTGCTGATGTTGTAGTGGTTGCAGCAGCAGTTGTTGGGAGTGGCCGCATGGACAATGATTTTGATGAGCTAAATGCATCTGGAAAAGAAAGTGGTTTCTCACCAGGGGCACCAACAGAGGAAAACATATCTAAGTCTGCCAAGTTCAGATGATTTTTAGCTTGTGTTTGTTGTTTCTGTTGTACAGTTAAAGAGGGGAAGGGTATTGGAAACATTTTGTCTTTTATTGACGGTTCTAGTGGTGATATGCTGTCGGCTGTTTTAAAATCTGTGAAACCATCATCAGTTCCTGTAGATCTGAATTCTGCAAGGCTATCTCCTGGAATGAAAAAGGGAACAAGGATATTCAACTTAAAATCCGATTTCCTGCAAAGTGTCAAATATACTTATTAACTCCTTTTCTACTACTGCGTTGAGGACACGTATTTAACTACCACATGATCTTTTTGTATTCACCCTCTTCTATACCTCCAATTTGGAAACCACAGATTATTCCCATACTGAAATTTGAAATCCATGGATAGGGAAATAAATAAAAACCCTGCTGATGCTTTATGGTCCATTTCATTCATCAAATGCCTTTTAATTAGTTATTTCCTCAAATGGCTTCATGACCAGAATTGGCAATTACAGCCATTTTATTGTCAGGGTCAGGGCTTCACTACTTTCTATCCCTGTAGATGGCCAATTAAGCATGCAGTGAAGCAATACTGGAGAGCTACACACTGGAATGGTGGTCTACCAAAAATAAATCCTTTAAACATTAAGCAATAAGGGGAGGTACATACAAACTAATGGTATTGGTGAAGTAATAAGACATTCTGTGTTAATACCCAAGGAATACAACATTTTGTTTAACTGTGCATTTTAAATCCAGGACTAGATATCTGATATTCCTGAATCACATGGGCATTAATTTAAAAGAAAACTTCATTGGAAAGAGAAAAATAAGGGTACAAGAGTCACCTTTCCCAAAAACGCCATCTAATGCCACAGAATTCCCAAGTATCTAGCACAGGCACAGTACATCGTAAGCACTTACATGTTTGCTGATTTATTCATCTTCCCCCGAAACTTAACAATAAAAAGGTTCAGAATTCTAAAAAAAGGTACTCAACCAGAAAATATAAGTCTTGCTCCTTATGTTTCTAGCTTCCCTTAAGCTAGGACACACTTCCTTATTAGGTCCAATTAGGCATTATTCTCACTTAAACACAATGGAATTCTGGCAATCACAGAAGAGACATGGTTAAAATTTTGGTTTTGTGTCCAAATAGCCTAAGGAAAAGGCTGCTAACAAAATTTTGTTGGCAAATGAAAATACTATACAGAAACCTTTCTTTAAGGAATTAAACCAGGTTTAGTTGAAAATATAAGCCAATTATCTGGGCCTAAGATTGACAGAGTTCCTATAGTAGCAATATCATCACTAATATCCATAGTATTTAAGATGTGTTTAGTCTTAATTTTCCAACTTTCTAAAAGTCTTTCATAAAGCAAAGATTAGGCAGCACAGAACTTGGTACATAGTATTTAATAAATATTCTATTTATCCATCTCATCACCTCCTCTCCCCCCGGGAATTAACTAGAAATACAGCAAAAATAGACAAACCAAAATTACATAAAATATTACTATAACATATGGCTAAGCCACTTTTCCAGTTTTATGACATTACTTCCCTTTATTCACTCTACAGTCTGGTCAAACTGGACTTATTACTGCTGCTTACAAATGGCACTCTAATTCCAGGTTCTTAGACTTTCGTATTGCTGGGATGCACTCCTTCCTCACATCTGCCTCTAAGAATCCTTAGTTTCCTTCAAGTCTTGGCTCAAGCACCTCCTTCTACACAAAAGTTTTCATAATTCTACTCTCTCCTCACTTCCCAGTGCCCTCTCCTTAAAATTACCTTATGTCTATTTTGTATATACCTATATATATGTATGTATATAGATGTAAGTCTCTTGAGCGTAGGGATTGCTTACTTCTGTTTTGGTACTATAGCACAATTCCTGGCACACAGCTAAGTGTTTAATAAATGCTTATTATCTAAAATTCATGTCTGAATAATCTCAAAACGTTTGCTTTAATGTTCCCATCAATTGTTAAAGAAAACTATTTTTCCTGTGTAAGGAAAACAGCAGCATATGAACCATCATGTAAACATGTCTTTTAAAAAGATCCTGCAAAACAAAGCACATATCAACGGAATCTCAACTCTTAAGTCACGAAGGATGGTCTTCAATACTTGAAATCACAATTCAATAATAATAGATTTTGTAATATTTATTAATTTAATATCAATTTTTATTTCATACATTTAAAAAAAGTTTCTGCATAAGCAAATCCAATAGAGCTAAGATTAAAAGAGAATCATCTGGGGAAAAATCTTTGCAACAAGTTCCTCTGCTAAAGGCCTCATTGCCAAGATATGTAAGGAAGTGATTCAAATTTGTAAGATTAAGTGTCATTCCCCAATTAATAAATGGTCAAAGGACATTAATATGTAGTTCTCAAGGGAAGAAACCTAGGCTATCTATAGTCACATAAAAAATGCTCCAAATCACTACTAAATAAAATTTAAACCTATTTAGAGATTTCACCTCATATTCATCAGATTGGCAAAGATGACAAAAAGGAAAATGACAATTTCTGGAGGGAATATAGAAAAACAGGCACATTGGTGCACTTCCTGTGAATTGGGACACCATTCTGGAAAGCAATTTGGAATTACACAAAAAGGTTACTAAACTAAACCTTTGACCGAGATAAACCACTGCTAGGCCTGTACCCAAAAGTCACCAAAGAAAAGGAAAAGGTCTTTTATGTACTATTTATAGCTATTTATAAAACTACTTATAGCTGCTCTTCTTGTCATAGCAAAAAACTGGAAACTACTGAGATACCTGCCCATCAACTGAGGAACAGCTGAGTTAAGTTGTGGCTTATGAATGTGACAGGAGTACTATTGTGCCATAAAAAATGAGGCTGCAAAGAGACACGAAGAGATTTATATGCACTGATAGTGAATTAAGCAGAATAGGAACAATTTATTATTTCATTATAAAGTTAACAACCTTGAAAACCTTTATAAATAATAAAGAATAAGGAGTAGAACCAAGAGAACAATTCCTACAATAATGACAACTGTAAAGACAACTATGAAAGCTGTAAGTATTATGAGTAATACACTTATCATCCGTCATTCCAAAGGACTGATGATGAAACATACTATCTATTTCCTGACAGAGGTAACAGATTTAGGGTGCAGAATGAGACATATATTTTTGTATACAGCCAATGAGAGAATCTGTTTTGTCTGACTATGCACATTTGTTATAAGGAATTTGTTTCTTCTCTTTTTTTTGGATGGGGTTAGGAATGAGAGTGAGAGATAACAAACTTCTGTTAATTTAAAAAGACAATTAAAAAAGAAAAGTGGGAGGGTGTTACAGTTGTGGAAATGTTGCACACACTTTGAGATAAGGTAACTGTATTGTGAGTTTTGCTTATTTGTTATAAGATCTTTCAAAGAATGAAGGTAATCTGTAAATGCTTTACAATGTAAAAACAAATCACATCAATAAACTTTAAAAAATACGATAAATACAGAAGAGCATGGATTTACATGATCTGATGCAGAGTTAAGTAAGCAGAGCCAAGAAAATAACATACAGTAACTACAACAATGTAAATGGAAAAACCACAAAACAATCAAAAGTGAATGATGCAAAATCACAAAGAACAAGCATGGCCCCAAGAAGAGATATAACAAGCTCCCCCAATCCCACTCTGTAGAGGTAGTGGGTCCATGGGTGTGGAACACTGCATATACTTTCCGACTTTTTCTAATTATTGATCAATTTTGCTCTTTTTTCTCTAAAAAACATAACTTCCTATGTGAGATGACTCTCAGTGAAGAGAGATGGGGAGACAGACTAAGAGAAATTATGGTGATGCAAAAAGCCAAAAGCTATAAATACAATTGATTTTAAAAATTATTAATTCAGGGAAGCATGGGAAGTAGAGGAAGCAGAACTTCTCTGTTAATCTAGAATACATAACCAATTCACCAGCATAATGTTTGAACAAAGCCATTTTCATTTAATATCTTAATTTTTGTAACTGTATGAAACTGTACTCAGATTTCCTTGAGTCTATGTTTTTAAGATATAGTACTAACAAGAATGAAGTCAACTTCACAAATGGACAGAAATGTTAAATATTCTTAAAATAACTCAAGATTTTAGGTAATTCTATCCAGAGTTCTTTCAAAAAACATGCATTATGTTATTTCATATGAATGAAATAAAAAGCAATTTACATTTAAAATTTATGTGCTACTTTAAAATAATCCGTGAAATTGACAACTTTTTGTTTTATTTTTTAAAAAGAAACCACCACAGCAAACTAAACTTACTGATGAACTGTAAACTTTTCCGTTAGTGAGGTAAGCTGGTGAAAGGGTTAAAAAGAAATCAGCAATGGGCAGTTTACAAGTTGACAACTATGTACAAAATAGTGACAGTAAATGGAAACTTTCATATAAAAAACTATTATAGCATGACATATCAAGCATATTATCCCATGAGTATACTATTGGTCTACATGTTTCCAGTGAACAATCTCTGTGACTCAAGAGTCTCTCTCTATCCTGTCACATTCTGTCAAGGACATTACAAAAGATAATTTCTGACATAGCTCCCAAAAACACTATCATCTTTCTACTGTTTTAAGATAAACTTGTCATTATCTTCTTAATAAAGATGGCTAGCTTATAAAGATTTATTGCACACTACCCTGAGGAGAAAGAAAGCAGGATTATATCCTGTCAGTTAGTAAAATGGAGTCTGGTCAACCTATACTTTGCAATACCAGTGACCCCAAACGCAGGAAACCTAAGATGACATCTCTAGCTCTGTTGAGGCTAGGCCTTTGTGTTTTCAGTCACTGTTATCTCATATATTCCTATCAAAAGGAAAAAGATTAACCAAATGACAAAGCCGGCCAACAGCTCAGTGAAATATCGGAAAATCTAAGTCAGGCAGGCAGCAGCGTCCATACCTGTATCTCCCTACCAGGTTCTGCCCAAGGCAAGTGCTCAGTGGATGATCAGGAGGGAGAGAGAAGCAAATGGGAAAAAAGAGAGAGAGGAAGGGGGAGGAGGGAGGAAAGAAGGGAGGAAGGGGGAGGGGGAAGAGGAAGAAGGAGAGGGAGAGGGAGAGGGAGAGAGAGAGAGAGAGAGGCAAGCCACAATTTGTTGCTCTAGCACAAAGTAGCTAGAGCACTACAGCTCAAATCTTGATGGCCCCACTTAACCCTGCAATAGTGTCCAGGACCAAACCTTAAATCCCTAGCTAGAAAACTCTATTCCAATGTTGTTTTTTTTTATTTACTGTATTTTTTCCTAAATAAACCTCACCCACATGTCCATGGACAGAGAAAGGCATCCCAACTTTTTTTTTTGCGAGGCAATTGGGGTTAAGTGACTTGACCAAGGTCACACAGCTAGTAAAGTGTCAAGTGTCTGGTCTGAGACTGGATTTGAACTCAGGTCCTCTTGACTCCAGGGTGATGTTCTATCCACTGTCTCATCTAGCTGCCCCCCCCAACTTTTACTAAAAATAAAAAAATTAATATATTTATAGTATATTGCCAAAAACTTACCTAGGGACTTATTTTCTGCTGGCTGTTCTAATTCTCTGAAAGCACTGTATTTGTCTCCATGTTCTACAATGCATATAAAAAAAGGCAAAAGCTTCATTAAGATTCCTGTGAAAGCACACCACAGCTAAATATATTTTAGAACATTTATCTAAAAAACTGATAACTATTTTGCACTGACAGCATAAAATCACTACTAAAATCACAGAAACATGAAAATTAAATGTTTTATATTTTATGAGTCAACAAATTTTGTTTTTACCTCCAAATGGAGCTGCATTTTCAGATGTCTTATCAACAGCAATTCCTTTAAATACAGAATATTTATCTGTTGAAGGTGGTGCTTTTGTTCCTGGAAGTGGTATCAAAGAAGGGGCACTAGAAAGGGAAGAAAATCCCTTAAATGTTTAACACATTAAATTCCTCAGCATTACCACAAATTATATAAGAGTATGATTTTCAAAATAGAAATTATATATTTCCTATAAAATAATTTGTATGCCAAAGGTCAAAGAAATATTTTGCTACTAATATAATTATGATAATCCTTTTCCTAGACTATTTTAGCTTAAAAAAAAAAAAGACTTAAATGCAGCAACCTTTTTATGAATATGAGAGTGGTTAGTCACATACTAATTCCAACCACCTCATTAAGCCAAAATAATAGATGGGGGTGGGGTGGGAATCGAGCAGAAGCGGAGGTATGATTATGGCTATAAAGCCCCTTTGATACAAAAGTACAGAAGTGAACTGCTCCAAATATGCAAAACCAACCTGAGAAACTAGATTTTTAAAAGGTATTATGTTAACCTTATTGTAAGTCATATGCTTTAAAATGGGTTCAGAGTGGAAAGGCAGAATAGGAATGATAAGAATCAGAAGTTATGAAATGTTGTTCGAGCCAAGCTTGAAATTCTCTGCTTTTGATTGCCACTGGCAGAAGTTAACTCATCTGATATGAAATAGTAGCATTAATGTAATTTGCATTTTTACAAGAAACACATCAGTGAATTCTAGGAGTTATCTTCATAGCAAAACAACAATCATTCCACAATTAGATTAAAAGACTTCCACTGAGAACTTATTTCTTACTGCATAAGGAAAGTGGTATAAGCAGCAGTATCAGTGTTGGTAATTTTTGGAAGGATCAAATACACATGACAACTACTTTCCTCCCCCTTTTCCCCTTTATCAGACTGTGGCAAGCTCCCAAGAAGAACGAACTTTACATATGAATGACCGTATTCTAACTCTAGTTTAAGTCATTCAATACCACACACAAACTACATAAATGAATTTCTATTGAGTCCTGTGCCCCAGAGCAAGAGTCTTTCCATAGTCATTTAAATCTTATCAGTGGCCTACAAGCAAGATACAAACCCAGCTCTTACACATGCATGCTAATGGTAGCCCACAGTGCTTCAGGCCTAAGTATCAAACTATAGATGAGATATAATTTAATTTCATACTGCTCTTAGATAGCCAACAAATGTCTACTTTGCAAATGAAATGGGTAATCATCTATATACCATGGATGAACTTTAAAGAAAAGCTCTATAAGTAATTAGACTAGAGCTCATTGTACAAAATGTTATGTTAGATGTTTTTACAACTGAATAGAAAGAATTAATGCAGTAGAAAGAACACGCAGCAGCATGATATATTTTGTCTTTTGTGACCCTCTAACCAAGGATAGTTTGTTAAAGCTCTGTGACTTCAAGTTGGTAAAATATTTCTGCTAAATCTGACATAAATAATTTTAAAATTATGTTCACCACAGGAAAGGTGGTTGGAAAAAAACAGATCATCTTCAGGGTAATGAAGTGTTGCTGATTAAAACCAATGAAATGAAATCTCATTCAAGAAAAGCTATGACTTAGTCTGTAATTTTATGCATATTGCGACTGAACAATTCATTCTAGTCTCTTCTGAACTCATTATTAAAAAAACAACTGGTAATCACCATGAAAGTGTTTATACCATTTACACAGAAACAGATTCATTCCCAGATCTAAATAGGAAAACAGTTAACTTCTGTTCTCCAGTACTGATAAAAAGTACCCAAATGGATAAACACAGTATTTAAAATTTCAAGAACCATGACCCTTTCCATATAAACTAAAGGCTTCTTAAGAGAAGGTATCTAGACTAAGCCTTTAAAACTTGACTTATCCTCATTACTACATCTACTGAAACAAAACCAGAAACAAATTACACTACACTGTGTTTACTGTACAATTCCATCTTCCTTTTTCATATCTCTGGAGAAGTGGACATTCTATTAGACCATTTTTTCCTCCCTTGACTTCATAGATTCCATAGTCTCTTGGTTTCCTCCCTACTTCTTTGGTCCCTCTCTCTAACTTATCCTTTTCTCTTACTCCTAAAGGTGAGGTTCTTAAAGTTTTATCCTTTCTCTTTGGTCCTCTTTATTTCCCTTTGCTATATATTTTCTTCCGTTGGCATCCTCATTCACTCCCACCATGGCTTCAACACCTATTGGAAAACAAATAATTCCCAAATTTCTATCTCTAGCTTCAACTTCTTTTGCCAGATCAAGACCCACGTCTCCAACTCCTTTACCAGCATCTCAAACTTAACATGTCCAAAATTCAGGTTGAGTTCATAATCTTTTCCCCCAACTCTTTCTCTTTTTGACATCACTGTTTGTGAGTGATACCACAATTTCATTCAGTCTGACATATTTGGAATCTTAGTATTGTATGACTCTTCTTTTTCCCTCACCTCTCATTTCCAGTTAGCAAATGATATTCATTTTACCTATGAAATATCTTCTACTTCCATTCCCTCCTCTCTATTTCACCATTACTAGCCGAGTAAAAGCTCTCATTTCCACTCATCTTGGCTACTACAATAGCCTTATAGGTCTTCTGGTCATTATTCTCTCTTCATCCTTCATTCACTACCAGGTATCTTCCTTATGCATATCTTTTATGTTATTCTGTTCAAAACTCTTCAATGGCTTCCTATTGCATTTTAGACAAAGTCAAGCCTCTTTAGACTGGCATTAAAGACCTTTAAAATCTGGCACCAATCTATCTTTCCAGCTTTATATTACTCACTTCCACCTGGATTACTCATTATTCTCCATACATGGCCTATGCTTTTCTGATTCCATGCCTGTGCTCAAGTTGTTGCCTAAGCTAGAAAATCCTCACCCACTCTTTCACCCTTCTCTACCTGAATTCTGATATAGCCGCCCTCCCACCCCCTTTTCCCAGCAATGGTTGTACTTTCACTCATTCCCCTGGACTCACTCACTGGTTGATGTGGGGGTGTTGGAATACCCTTTGGTCCCCACTGCCATTTCCAGGTTCTCTTACCATCATCACCCAGCAATCTCTCTTCCTTTGAAATTCATTCACTGAATATCTACTACACAATCAAAATTCTGATACCTGTTCTACTGAGCTGCATTGATTCTCAATTTTGTTACAGACTTTCTTTTCTTTCCCCTTCAAATCCTCTCCTCACACTAGGGAACTTCAACTTACTGATACTCCTTCAAACAACCTAACCTCATAGTTCAATATAATAATTTTATATAACCCTACCTCACTGGCTCAACCACACACAAATGGTTGATCTTACCATTATTCACAAATGCACCATTTCCATGTTTGTGAACTCTGAAATTCCCTCATCTGATTACAATCTGCCTTGCAGATCCTGTTCCTTGTCTACCAATGACCTCCAATCTACCAACCGCTCAGTTAGCCACACTCTCTCCTTCCTTCCCCATCTTGACTCATTGGTGAACCAGTTCAGTTCTATACTGTCCTCTTGAGTCCCCATGCCCCCTTATCATATCACTGATTGTGCTCTTCTAAATTCCAGCCATCATTGCTTTTCCTACTAATACATGTGCTTCTGAGGCTGGAGAAAATCACAAAACCAAGCTGACTGGGCCAACTACAAACGTATTTCATGTAATCTCAACTGAGCCCTCATTGCTGTCAGGCAATCCTTTTTTACCTCCCTAATTAACTCACTACCCCATTCACCAAAACACCTCTTCCAAACCTCTTCAAACTTTTCATTGCTTCCCTATCCCTCCCCTCCTCAAATGAGTACTCTGCCTCCTATCTTACTGAAAAATTTGAAGCCATTCACCAAAAGTTCCATCTTCTTCACTCCTCCATCTCACATCACATCAAATCACATCACATTTGCCACTGTCTCCTACTATACCTTGTCTCACATAATCTCCTTGCCAAGGTCAACTCTTATAACCACAAATAATCCTATTCTATCTTGTCTTCTTCTGCAGATTAACCCCTCTATCATTTCCACTCTCTATCTTCAATCTCTCCCTGTCTACTGGCTACTTCTCTACTGACTATGAACATGGACATGTCTCCCCTCTATTAAAAAAAAACCCTCATGTGATCCATCCATCCCTGTTATCTATTTTCCTATATCTCTCTTCCCTTTGGGAGCTCAACTCCTTGAGAAGAACATTTATAACAGGGTCCCTACTTCCTTTCCTCTCACTCTCTTCTTAACTCTCTTTGGTCTGGCTTTCAACCTCACAATTCAAACAAAACTGCTCTCTCCAAAATTACCAATGATCTTTTAATTGCCAAATCCAATGGACTTTTCTCAATCTTCATTCTTTTTGACTTCTGTAGGCTTTGACACTGTTGATCACTCTCTTCTCCGTGATACTCCTTTCTCTCTAAGGATACAACTCTCTCTCCTTATCTGACTACTCATTCTCATTTCTCTTTTATTAGATCTTCATCCAGATAATGCCTGCTAACCCTGACTGTCCAACAGAGTTCTGTCCTGGAATATTCTCCTCTATACTGTACTATGGTATACTATACTCTCACTCTATACTTTTTTACTTGGTGATCTCATTAGCCCCCATGGATTCAATGATCATCTTTATGCTAATGACCCTCAGAACTACTTATCTAGTCATCATCTCTTTCCTGACATGCAATCTTGCATCACCAACTGAATGTATCACAGATATCTTAAACTCAACACGTCCAAAACCGAACTCACTGTCTTTCCTTCCTAACTTCCCTATTACTATCAATGGTATCACCATCCATTCAGTCACCAAGGCTCAAACGCTGGTGTCACCCTCAACTCCTCAATCTCTCTTAATCCTACCTTTCCACATCCAATCTGTTGTCAAGACCTATTGAATTTTGCCTTCATAATGTGTCTCAAATATGCCCTTTTATCTCTTCTGACACTGCCACCATCCTGGTGCAGGCCCTCATTAATTCATGCCTGAACTATACTGCAATAGCTTGCTGGTTGGTCTACTTGCCACAAGTCTCTCTTCACTCAAGCCCAGATCTGACCACATCATTCCCCACTACCTCCCACTCAAACTCTCACCTCTAGTATCAAATATAAAATCCTTCGTATGGTGTTCAAAGCCCTTCATAACCTGTCCCTCCCCACCTTCCCCCCTCCTCAGTCTTCTTATACTTTACATCTGACTGTGTACTCTGTGATCCAGTGACATTGGCCTCTTTGATATTTCTAGAACAAGGTGCTATCTCCTGATACTGGATATTTTTGCTAACTGTCCTCAGTGCCTGAAATACTCTCCCTCCTCCTCTCTGCTTCCTAGCTTCCTTCAAATCCTAGCTCAAATTCTTCCTTCTATAGAAAGTCTTTCCTGATTCCCTTTAATTCTAGTGCTGTCCCTCTGTTGATTTCCAATTTATCTGTCTCCCCCATTAGACTGTGAGCTCCTTGAGAGCAATCTTTTTTTACCTTTCTTTGTATCCTTAGTGATTAGCACAGAACCTGCCACATTGTAGACACTTAATAAATGTTTACTGACATACATGCCTAAAATAGAGATGGTCTTTCCCCATAAACCATAACCCCTTTCAAATGATCGCTAGGCTGCATACTGTGAGTCACCTTCAATTCACATTTTTTTGTCTTTATCTCAACAATGAGTATAACACTAAACCTATTAATTTTTTTTTTCTGAAACATTTCCCATCACATTTTGATAACCTCAACTGGACTACTGGCAGCCTTTTACTCCTTGAATTGTTCTCATAAACAAGAATCTCATCTCCTTTAAAAATCTGATTTTTTTCACTTTTTCTGGGAGCCTTTAGAATAATGGCTCCCACTTCTGGCATATCAAAATCACTAATCACAAGTTCTAAGGCACATCAGTGTTTCCTCTGCAAATCAATTTCCTATTCTACAAGATTAGCTGATGTTTTTCACTATGCTTCCTAATTCGTGACTTGTTTACCTTTCCTCTTGCCCCTAAACAAATCATGTCACATTTTAAAACTATGACTCAAGGTTCATGTCTTCCATGAAGACTTAATCAGTTTAGCATAAAGACTTCCATAAAGACTTACTGGACTATTCAGTTCTGGTCAATGTAATCATCACCCTAAAAATACTCTTGTTTTAGGTGAACTCAATTAATAGAATTAAAAATTTATAGTATTGATAAAGTAGGCTACTAATTTATTTTACATTTGTTGAGGCACCGAAACTAAGGAATTTTCAGACTATAATATATCATACATTAGCCAGGAAAAGCGAGGACACTGCAGACCAAATTTATGAGGTACCAAGCCCAGGGAAATAAAAAAGGTAATTAAGTTTTGGGAGCTTTGAATATACAAGTCAAGAGAATTTTAGTTATGGAAAAATTTCTGTGGCTTAGAGAGGGCATGGAAGTGGTCAAAATCAGGTCTACAATGTGATACTAATGTAAGGAAGGGAAAGCTGAAAAATACTGCTGTAAAGGAAAATTAACTTAAGTGGAAACTAGAACTCCCATCAGGCACAGATTGCAGACATATGCCCAGTATGACTACCATTTAAAATGCTCCAAATTAAAGACAAGTGAAAAATATAAACCCTAAAGGGGTAGTGTTCCATGGGAATTTGTCTCTTGTTTTATTGTGGAAATCAGTGGGGAAAACAGAATTCACTTCACAGACATTTATTTTTACAGTCAACTTGCCATAAAAATTTACTTAATACAGTCATTGTGTATATATCCCTTTAAAGCAATAAGACTGTTGTTAACACAAGACTTGAGAAGCCAGTTTCACTACTTTATGGACATGCCATATGTTTACTGTGCTTATCTTCTCATGCGTTTTCATTTGGATTGGCCTGTCCTTTCCATGAGATTACAAAGCTCTTCAAAAGACAGAAAAATCATATCAACTACTTAATTTGTAAATCCTCCCACTGCCTACAACTGTTTTCTTCACATAGTATATACATAATTAAGTACTGAGTAACTGATCAATCACTATCCAAAAGAAATGATGGATGATGCTGTACTATATAAATATACACATAAAAGTTGGATATATGTGCTAACAAAAACAATGGTTCTAAGAGTTAAGCAAGTGAAAATATATTTTATACTTCAGTATCTGGTGTGTTCTGCATAACTGTGTGAAACAGGTAGCTAGTTTAACATGAAAACGGGATAACTAAGTGTTAGGATAAATCAATGTACAAAAAGGCTTGGATGGGTATTAAAAATGCTGAGATGCCAATTATTGTTAGTGCAGAAAGTTGAAAGTCTACCATTTATCTCAAATTGAAGATGAGAGACATATGTGAGTAGTTATATTTAAAAATCTAAGTCTTGCTTTTTTTTTTTGGTGGCAAATTAAACTGTAAAATGGGGATTTCTTATATACTGGAAATTTTAAAAAAACCCAAAACTTTAAACCCTCTCTTCCAAAGGCATTTACAAACCCCAATTTGAAGCCATTTCCTTAACTGAAAAGGTGCATTCACCTGCATTAAATTCATCTCAAAAGCAGCCAAAATGAGCAGCATGGGAAGATGGCAGGAGCAGAAGTTTCGGGTGGAAAAGGTAGAGCAAAGTGTGAAGGCCAGGAGTATATGTGGGCAAAGAAGGGATAATGAGGGGTACTGTAAGTAAGGAGTCAAATTCTTTCTGAAATTTGAGATACATGTTTTCTACCTGCTCCCATGTTGGGAATTAGCTGTTTTTGAAGAAGCAGGCATCTCTTGGAAATCAGTAAATGAGTCATCAAGTGATCCTGACTTTGAAGCATCTTGAAAATCTTGGAAGTCATCTTCTTCTGGTTTTACTACCTAGATTATAAAAGATGTTAAGTACAAAAGGCACCAGATTAATACAGGTAAGCCAAAAATCCTATATACCCCAAAGCATTAACTGATGAAGGAGGTCTTATAACTATTCTTCTATTCTTAGATGCTCTTTGATTAATGCAAATAGTAAAGTTAGTTTGAAAATTAAGACTCAATCTTTAAAGTTAACAGGCTGACTTTTAAGTAATTTACTAAAAAACCTATCATTCTTAAACTAGAAAGAAGGATTCTAAATAATAGCTGCTGCTGAAATGATCTCCTCTTTTAAAGGTTGTCAAAATAAATGGATACAATAATTAGGACCCAGGAAAAACAACCCAATATGTACTAGTGTTTTACTTCAATTCAACTTAAGTAGTATTAAATACTTAGTTTGTATATAGTACTAATGTTAATATCTGGGGAAAAATTTTCACTATAATAAAGTTTAGAAGAAATGAAGGAAAAAGTTTCTATTTACCACAAAGAGTTAAACATTTTTTTAGGTCAAAATTTCTTTCTAAAGGAAGAAAACTGTATTTGGCTCTTTTCATAATACTGATAAACTAAACTCTGATGTATGCTGCTTCAACTACTAGTGCTTTGCTTTTAAAATGTCAGTGCTCCTTTCTGTAAAGAAGTCATTCAAATTCACCTTTAGTTACTGGATTGTACAAAGTACAGTAACTCTACTGACCTGATTTGCTGGGTAAGCTGGCACAAAGCCACTGGAACCTTGGGCTGGAGCTCCACCCACTGGTGCAACTAGGTTAATACCCATGACTGGTTGTCCAATGGTAAGAGGCATAGAGACTGTAGGACCAGAAGGCATCATAGTCTGTTGACTCACTGGGGTAGTAAGAGTCATAGGAAAGCCACTCAGATTTGGGACAGGAGCAGTTGGGAACTGGTTCAATGTGTCAGGACTGATTGCAGGCACCCCCCTCTAAACAGGGGAAAAAATGCAAACATCTTAGATTTCAAGCTAAAATAATCCAAACTTGAAAATAAAGACAATGAAACATAATTTCATTTAAAATCTTGTTTTTGATTTGAATTTGATTTGAATATTTGTTAAGAAAAATATATTAAATAAAAACTGTATAATTCTATCTTGAAATAATTTTTATGATATTATTAATGATGTTCTACCTAGTTAGGCCATTTCACCTATATCCAAGGATATAGGATAAAAATCTGTCAAACTGACTTAAAAAAAATCATGCATAAAACAGACATGCATACCACATAAGCTGTGCAATATGAAAATTTTTGTATTCATATATAATGAAAACTAAAAGGCACGAGTAATTACACCATATTATATAAGAAATGTATGTATATGTATGTAAACATACATAATATAATGAAATACAAGATATACAAATTATAACATACAAAATCTCTCTTCCAGTTGGTTTTACATCTAATTTAGGAAAAATATATATACCTGAGTTAGAGCTATCATAGCTAGAACAGTATAGAGTTCTTCTTTAGTAAGTTTTCCAGGGGTAGTACGATTGGCTAAGGCCCAAATTTGTCCAAGGGTTTCCCTAGGAAGCCCAGATGACATCAGTATGGGATAAAGTTTAGCGGTATCTATTCCAGTTGGAGTCATAGTTGTTTCTAAAATCTTCTTATATGCATCTAGTAAAGAAAAGAGCAGACTGCATAATTACAAGTGTAATGCATTTTGTGATTTGTTTTGCTAACAGAGGTTACTCAATTACTTACCACCTGCCAGTTGCCTGCTGGTTGGCTCACTGCTGCCTGAGAGCTAAGAATGATTTTTATGTTATTAAACAAAATTTTATTCTATTACAGAACATGAAAACCATTTTTAGCTCACAGACAGGCAATACACAAACAGGCCTGGACTTGGCCCTGAGATGTATTGGCTGATCCTTACAACATGGTATGGGACAGCTAGATGGCTCAGTGGATAGAGTGCTGAGCTTAAAGTAAGGAATAACAAATTCAAATCCAGCCTCAGACTCTAGCTGTGTGACATTGGGCAAGTCACTTAACCTCTCTTTGTTTTCATCCACTGGAGAAGGAAAAGCAAACCATTCTAGTATCTTTGCCAAGAAAACCCTAGGGACAGTATGGTCCACGAGTCACAAAGTGTTAGGCACAACTGAACAACAACTACATAGTAGTTAAACATTTCTAATCAGGTGACACTACAAATGTTATAATTTAACCCTTATGCTGTGATTCTGTCTGACTTGCTGAGCTTAAAATGGAAAAACTCTCAAAGGACTACAATTTTCTGGCTTTTGTTTTTGGCACGGGCGCAGAAATAATATTCTTTTGTCTGGCATGGAACAAAGGATAATTCAGAATTTTTAAATATATTACTAAAGCCTCCCATGCCATGCCATTAGACTTACTTTGAGAACATGGTATAAGCTAAACATGGACAGTCTCTTCCCGAAACAAATCCATTTAAGGGAGTCCTCCCCAGGATTTCATTAACTAGATAGGAAACAATTTTAAGACATGACAGCTATGAAAATTTTCTGTTAGTAAATGTTTCAAGGGAGTAACAAAGTACGTAAAATTAAACAATAATACAAATTTCAACAAAAGTTGAAAATAACTGTTTTATGCTATTGTAATGCTACTCAGTGCCTCTATAAATTTTGATTAAAATATTTTGTTGTTCCCTTTTACTTAAACAAGTAATCATAAAATTTGTTGTTAACTGGATTTTAGAATGGTGCCATAAACTTAATGCACACCATTCTAACACGAACAAAGAAATCTCTTCTCCAAATACTGGGAACAATTGATCAATGTAAAATGTAAATAAAAGGGCATTTTTTTTTACTAGACACTGAAAGATTAGACATTTTTAAAATGTAACCAATTCATTATCATTTTAAGAAATTAACATGTGTATATTGCATGTATGTGCATACATATACACACATCAGGGTTAAGTTATATATTTATATGTATGTTTCATTTTAGTCCTCTAAAATGAATTAAGAATAATCTCTTATAAATGGAATTAAATCCAAGAAAGCATTTAGAAATAAAAGTATACTACAGATAGTAAAAAACCAAAAAAATGAAAAAAAAAAACCCAAAAAAAACCAAAAACCAAAACCCTAATGGCATAACTCATCTATGTTACAGGTATTTCATGCTGAGGTTGTCTTAATATATTTGCCTAATTAAATTTTTTGGCATATTTTTGGAAAGTTTCAATCTTTGGCATATATTTCAATTTAATATAGTATCATTTGAATTATTTTTGTTATTGAACACAGCTAGAGGATCAAACATATCTTTCAAAATATTTCTTTTGAGTTTGCTCATCTGAAAATGTATAAAGGTAATTCAGACTATTTTTATTCACTTGTGCTTTTACACATTCACATTCACATACACATTTTGCACACACAATTATACTTAGGAAGTGCTCAGGAAAAAAATCATGTGATACAATTTATAACATTATTGGATATGAAAAGAAAAGTTTAAAAAACTGGCTACTGATGTGAACAGGACTATTACGAACATGCATTTGTTCAACATATCCATAATGAATGACTGAATGAAAAGAGCATAAAGTGCAAGCAGTATACTAAGCCCTGGGGATAAAAACAGAAAGGTGAGACAGCACCTGCTCTGAAGAAGCTCACATTCTAACTGTCTCATAAAGGAGGTTTCAGATACAAGTTAGATGGAAAGGCCCCACGCTCCTTAGCAGCAAAGCAGATGGTAATGCATCTTATTTAATTCCATTTCCATTAATAAAACTACATTGCTTTCTGACAGAATCAGTTGACAGTGCTAAGGTCTTTGGTGTTGAGAATTTTATTTTCTTGGACTTTCGTAGCTGTGGAGGCTGGGGACACTATTTCACCAATGAAGGAAGTTACTAGATTGCATCTACAAGTGTTGCCTCTTAAGAAGTACCACTGGTTTTTAGGGTGCTGATATTGCCCGGCCTCTTAGGCTTACCTGCTTGGTGGGAGCAGTGAGATCAGCAGATGGCATTGGTGGTGATAGGAATAGCGGGCTCCTTCCCCCAAGATGGTTCCTCCTCTTGATGATGGCTGTGGGGAATAGGCTGGGAGCAGGGGTGGTGGCCTCGGGCACATTGCTCTTCCCAGGGTTCTTGGGTTTAGTCCCTGAGATATCACCGTTAGGGTCTCCAGTGGAGGTAGTGTTCAAGGTGGGTTGAACTGCCTTGTATATGCCCCCTTCTATTTCTCTCTCCAGATTCCTTCCTGCTTTGGCTAGGCTGGCTTGATTGCCTCTTTAGTAGCAATTAATTGGTGGCTGATGGGGATAGAAGGCCCATTCTCCATTCAATGTAGATTGAAAATAGGGCTTCAAGTTTTTGTGGGGGTGGGGGTAGAGGAGGAGGAAAAGCTATTCCTGGGGCTCTTGGTTTCAGGGTTCTTTAGAAAAAAGAGGAGGCACCTGTCTAAATGGTGCATGTAATATTTATAAAAAGTATATGCAACATAACCTTATACATATAATTTTTGTACTTCCTCTAGCACCAAGCACATTATATCACAGAGTAGGAATTTAATGTTTATTGAATATATGCATATAAATCAACTGAGATTGTGCAAAAATCTGGATCTAGGAAAACCTGGATGATATGGCAATGCTTTTGTCTTTGTATCCCTAGCACCTTGCCTAGTACCCTGGGCACAGTATGTTCTTAATAAATAGCTGTTGAGTTGAACTGATGAGTTAAGACATCATGACCTAGGATAAATCAAGGAAGGTCTGGAAGGCTACTGACTGTTCAAGAAACCTTCCCAAAGTTCAATTTTTGAAGTCAGAGTGAGAAGAGAAAGACACTCTGGACAGCACCATTAGCTTTGTTAATTTAACAGTTCTGTTAATAATATATTAGAGAAAATTATCTGGCAACTCAAATAAGGTTCCATGATACACAAAATTTACATATAAAATTTTCTTGTAGGAAAAATAGACCCAAGAGGGATGTTTTGAGGAAGAAAACTACACAGAAAACATATTCAGATGAGCAAAAGCTAGATAAATGAGATTGTACTTTTTTCAGAGTAGAAAAATATATGGAATGAAACAGTACCAGAACTTGAACAGGCTAAAACCAGGTTCAAAAGATGCTTCAATACATGTCTATTCACAATATGGAAAGGGAAGTTATAGACAGTTTGATCACAGTTAAAACAGACATTTAAGTATCCTATCATGGAGGACAACAACAACAAAATGTTCCTTGTTATTATGTCAGGAACAGAACACTCATCTAGATGGCATATATAATGTACAAAACTAAAGTCCTCACTGGTTACTCTTTATGTCAAAGTCATGCTCTTTTGAAGCTCTCTGGTCAACAACAATCTTTGGGTATTTAAGCTAAAGCCAAAGTTAAGGAGAATAAAACATTTCTTATAAAAGAAATTGATAAATTCAAAATACGATTAAATTTTTAATCTTTCAATTTTGTGATCCATTTGGAAAAAATGTATTATGGAATAAAGCAGAATGTAAATACACCATGCCAATTATAACTACCTAAAATAATAATAAAATAAGAAAAATTCAAAGAAAATGATCAGAGGGGATATAGAAGCAAGCAAGACATCTTTGAATTCTTAAATGACCATATATTTATAAAAACTTCCAAACTATAAATCGTTTGAAGTTTCTTTTCTTTTTTTTAAACCAGACATGATTTCATTGGTAATAGGGAACTCCCAATGAGGAAACCTGGAAGCAAATCAGTACCTATTCTTCAACTTAAAGAATTGCCATGGGGCACTGACAGGTTAAATGACAAGCCCAGGGTCACACAACCTATGTGCAAGAAGCAGTATTTGAACTCAGGGAAGTCTTCCTGACTCTGTGGGTAGCATTCTATCTATTGCCTTTATAAATACCACCATTAAAAAATCTAATTTACAACAGTTTATTTAAATATTGCTGTTGTTTTATAATTTTAATATTGTCAAAAGGAAAAATGCATTTTATATGCTCTTAAGATGTGTAAATAAAACCATACTATATTTAGGCTACACACAATTTTAATAGGTGCTGGGGGAAAAAAAAGATTTTGAAAGTACTTTATAAAAGGGAGTTTGGATTTTTTTTTTTTTTTACCTGGGACTAAGCTCTCATTATAAATCCAAGAAGGTATCATAGGCTGGATTGGATCTTGTGAAGGGAATACACCCACACCTAGGAGATATAGAAATAGTATCTAAAACAGAGTAATAAAAAAAAGAGGAGAGAAATTCCTCTCAAACAGATTAAAAATACACCACAATGGAAACAGATACTAAAAAAAGGTCACCAACACATTAAGAATATAACAAGAGAATTTTCCAAGCAGCCTAAAATGTCTTTTGAAATGTGACTAAAAAGAAAATCTAAAATGTCTAGATCAATACTTTTAACTATGTAAGGCTTGCATCATCCTTCATGTATTACGAACCTGAAAAGAAAGTTAGCCACGAATGATACTTTTAAATTACACATGTAAAACCAATGGCATAAGATTTTGCTTGCAGCATTTCCTGATGCTAGAAAATTATTATTTTTAACCCTGAATTTGCCACTGTTGCAAAATTACATGTTTTTAGTTCAAACAAATCACTTCTACAACAGCATGACTTTGACATCTACTTCAAATCTAGGAATCCTGCAAAACATCCTCCAAAGGACTACTTCATGAGTTATTCACGTTCTGTTTTGGAAATGTATTTCTGCAAGCTGAGTTAATAAAATCTGAATCTTTTATTCAGCAATACTCAAAATTATTTCATGGAAAGAAAAACATAAAATTCTCATTGGTGACTTTTATAAGCTTTAAATTTTTAATCTCCCACTATCCCCAGAGGAATAAAGATTGTCAGGAAAAAACAAAACAAAACAGGATATGGTTTTTTGTAAAGCTAGAGAAAAGCATTTTAAAATAGGAATGAATTTGATTATGGAAACTGGTTATTGATTTTTTTAAAGTAGAAGAGAATGTTGAAAGAATTCAGAGCAAAATCTTAAAACTGCTGATTAGAAAAAGGAATAAAATAGATTACATATATTTTAAGCAAGATTTTAACAAGCAAAATCAAGCAGCATTCACTTCAGGATTAATGCTTAAGGTGTTAGCTTTCAAGCAACATTTGGTTAAAGTGCATTCATTTTTTTGTCAATGTTTCATGAGCTCACCACTCTCTTCAACTGACAGGTTTTGGTCTGAAGTCTTTTCTGCCTCTGCAATGATGGCAGCACCATTTACATGTCCAACTATAGCACCCCCGTTATTGGCTGTTAAACTGGGATGACTCTTATTGGCAGCTGAGCCTGAGGTTTTGTGCCCAGCTTCAGAAGTATTTAATTTAATTTGCATCTGCCCAGACGTACTTAAATCACAAGACATTAGGAACTTCTCCTCCAGGGAAGGGCCTAAACAAACAGCATGAAGTATTATTTATATTTGCAACTTAGTTTTTATTCAAACCCATTTCCATCCCCATAATTCTTTAAAAAATCATTTCTTTTACTTTAAAAATGTTAAATATCCACAGCACAACCAGGTCACTAGATCTCTGATGGTTTTCCTATAATAGCTTCCCACTGCCCACTACTGGGGGGGAGGGGGAGAGAAGAAGCAAATGGGGAAAGGCTGCTTTGGTTTTATCAAATAAAAGGTAAGCAATATTTTCATAAAAGACCAATGATGTGAAAATAGCTCCTGAAACCAGAAACTGATAAAGGTCCTTTAAATCACAACTTTTCTAGTATCCTGGGCCACTAAGTTAGATATCTATTTTGATGGATGGCAGAATTTCTTCAACATTTATCTACAAACCAAGTGTATATTGATTTGCCTACATTACTGTATTATCCTCTTTAAACATGAATTAAATTTTATATCATCTATATAAAATAGAGGTATTGTTGATAATGCTATCTATGAATTACCTGTTTTCTGTGTACTGTGTGAGGCTGAAGCAGTAGAAAAATAAGGAACCTGCCCGGGGGCACCATGTAAGGCAGAAGACACTGGAATCTGTGCTGGAGGGAGAGGCTGGACCACAGCCTTCTCTGAAAGTAACTGGCCAACTGGGGTGGTGGAATGGAAAGACTGAAAAGGCTGGGAAGAGGATGAAGAGCCAAATATGGGAATTTCAACAGGCCCTTGCATAAAGTCACTGAATTCTTCTTCATCAAGAAAGGCAGAGGATTGGGAGACAGTTACAGTAGAATGGGATGGTGTGGGACAATCTGTAAAATGGAAAATGGCAATGAAACACACAGAAATGGAAATAAATGGAAAAAAAGAAATAAGGATGGGGCATATAGTTCCAAAAGAGAAATACTAAAAAATGAATAGTGGGAGTGGAGAAAGAAATAATCCAGGTAACAACAGTCAAATGAAATTACATGAGTCCATAAAAAATATCCAAAAGGTATACTTGTACAATTTAATGTGTCAGGTTGTTTTTTTTTTTTAATGAAAAGGGACAACTGTTATTTTGCATCTGTGTCAAAGGACACACAAATGTAAAATTCAAAATCTCTCTCCTTTTCACAAAGATCTAGTGAAGTGTATTTTTTTGAATGAAGTCAAGTTGTCCTAGTCAGCAGCACTTGAGACAAGAAAGAGAAGCAGTATTTCTAGATGAAACCAAAAAATCTACTTACTTGGTCATTATTCGTGCAGCATTATAGTACAAGTCAGAGACTATAATCTAAGTACACTGAGGATAATCACACACTGTCCTCTGATGATTCAGTTTGGTCAAAATACTTAGGAATACAAAATCAACATAAACTTACAAACATCTAATTTTTGGTCTATTCATCTAATCATGCCTAGCTTCCCTCCTAACCACCTCCTTTTTGGGTAAGACCTGTGATTCCAATGTGAAGAATTTACCCCTACTAAAACAGACCAGGTACTATTAGGACTTCAACTTATGGTCACTGAGGGTTGCTTAGGGGTACTGAGAGATAGACTGATTTGCTTGTGGTGTTCCAGCCAGGATGTGTCAGAGGCAAGACTTGGGCCTATGTCTTCCTCATCTCAAGGCTGATCCTCTATCAACTTTATCACATTGCCGTTCAAGGTGTCACAACCATTACAAAATGCTGCTTGCTTTTGATAAAATAAAGAATCTCAAAATCTAAGAGAACACACAGCTTCTAAAATAAATTTTTCCACAATAAATTTAGCAGAATGAAGATGGAACACCAAGCTTAAAAGATTACTTGTACTAAAAGGACAGATACTTAGTAGCTACAAGGGAGAGGGATTGCAAACCAGCTCATAAACATCATTATGGATTTTATACTGTTTAAATGTGAAGTTAATTTCAATTGTAAACCCATTCTATAGGGACTACATTTGAATCAATGTCCATTAAAAATACTAATTTATTTTTTTAAAAAATTTAACTACATTTTGAATTATTTGAGTTCCAAAGACATAGAGGACAGTTAAAAAAAATTTTTAAGTAGTTCATTGTCTGATGCCTTTGGGCAAATAATAATCACATTTTGCGAAAAGGTTCTGCTTCTGAAAACAGAGATACCAGTTGATTTTTTCCTTCTCCTTTACCATTAAGGAGATAATTGCTGTTAAGCATTAGAGATCTATGGAAGGGAGGTATGATTATTGAATAAATGTTCTATTTTCAACAAAAAAGACAGTATCATATTGTACTTCCTTCTATTCTCTTAACAGGGAGAACTTTTTATTCTAACCTCTGCTTTTAAACCCCAAACTGGACAAATCCTAAAAAGTTTAGTCTCCTTCAGAAAGCCACATTGCCAACAATGACCAGATTGTTCCCAGTGTAAAGCTGTTTAAGAATTAGAGTGGGAACATTCATTAAGGACAAATTCCTGGTCCTTGTTCTTGGATTAGCACAGTGCCTGGCACATAGTAAATGCTTAATAAATGCCTGTTGATTGACTGACCAGATGGGAAGGGAATAAGAATTTACAAAGTACTTACTATATCCTAAGTACTGTGCTAAGGTACTCTTTACAAATATTCTCTCATTTAATCAATATTAGTTTATGTACTGAGGCAATACCTAAACAGAAATTTAGGAAGAGACGCTTGGCTTACCTCTTTGCCTTGTTCTTTATGCTCAGACCCAGAGTGGCTTGTAGTTTAGGAAAGGGGTTTCTTTCTCCCTCTGTTATTTTATTGGTTAATAAAGCTTATAATATAAAAGGAGATACTCTGATAGCAGGTTCTATGGAAATATACATAGTTCAACTCTTAGAGGAGACCTTACTACAAAGTCTTAATTTCATCATCCTATTAAGAGTTAAATAAGGCTCAACTATTTGATCAAAGCTGTTTAAACTTACAAGAAACTTTGACTGCCAATTTATTTACAATGGGAGGTGAGTATCTTTCACTGATTAAAGAACTGTATTACTGTTTGAGGAAGAGAATCAGGGTTCTAAACACTTTTTAGCTGCCAGACCCAAAGCGGAAGGTTTTGGTGAATGAGGTGAAGATCAGGAAGAAAATACTGTCTGAAATCACCAAGAACCATAGCCGATAATGCAAACAGAGTAATTTGCTCCTAATGGGCAAATCTATACCTTGTTCCAAAGCAAAAGAAATACTTTTTAAACACTGTTTTGACTGACACTGACCATCACTCTCTACTTCTCCTTTGCTAGGTACCTTGTTGGAACACTGCAAATTTTTTTCAATTCCTATTTACTTCCTGTATTCAATTCCTGTATTACTAGTATATGATTTCATTCAAAGACAAAATTTTCTTCCTGATCTTTACTTGATTTTTGATGTTTAAAATTCTGCTGTCCACTTCAGGTTTGATAACTAAAAGGTGTTTGAACCTTTATCCTCTTCCTCAAATAATAAAACAATTCCTTAATCAGTAAAAGATTTTTTTTTTCACCCCAGTACATCTTATCCTAGGCCTGGTATCTTTGTATCATACTTTGTTCACTTTCTACATATAAAGATGGAACTTGGTAACTCTTCAGTTATCACAAGAGGACACAGTTAGCTGGATGCTCAAATGACAAAACAAGCTCGTTCTTGAATGAGCTGAATCAAATGTCAAAATATCAAGGAATTAAAATTACAGGATGGTTGTTATCCAAAGATGAGAATTATTTTTATTTCCAAATGACAAAGGAAATATTCTGCCTATACAAGTACGGTGTTTGGTTTGGTTTTTTTTCTGACCATTTGAATGATAAGGACGACAAAAAAAATCTATTCATAAAATTTCAGTTCCTTTAAGGAATTTTACTAATGCTACAATTCTAATTTCAGTGCATCTTAAAAACAAGTCCAATTACATTCAGATAATGAACTCTGAGGTAGAGCTCATAAAAAAAAACTATAATTATTTTATAAAACAATGAAAATGAAATGACAAACTCCTTCATTTCACTCAGATAAGTTAATGATCTACTATAATAGCTGAGTTAACACACTCATTTACATACCAAAGACTTAAAATTAAAGTTGACATACTGGTATTTAAGCAGAAGATTAAAAGCCTTCCTCCAAACAGTGTACCAGACCAGAGTTTTTACCTCATATAAATTTCAATGCATTCAATTCTGCATTTAGCTTGAAGAGCTCAGTCCTGAATCTTATCACATTTAATGGTCAATTAACTGACACAAGAACTACAAATTGCCATAAAAGAAAAATGCAAAATTCAGCAGTTACTTGTTTTCATTTCTGTGCTTCTTAAAAATAAAGCTACCTGGTTTCTTGGGGTGTGATGCTGGAGTGGGGTGCATCTTAGCATCTCTGGAAAATCCATCTAAGTTCCCTTTTATGGCTTCCAAAGCATCATCTCTGCTCTTCTCTCCTGTCTAAAAGATGACAAATATATATGGGTCTTCCACAACACAACTGTTTTTCTCCTTCACCTTTTAGTCCTACCCTATCAATATTCCTCCCATTTCTTTTTGATTTCTCTCCCTCCTTTTTGATTATAAATTTCTTAGGTGATGTTCTCAAAGGAAGACAGACACTGATGGATATATAAAACAAAGGCAATGAAGGACAAGATATGGCACAACAGTCAACTGGCCAGCAAAAAACTAAGAAAGGAATAAAAAAAAAATCCTACCTTCTACTCCCATACTCTAAACAAAATGACATAAAGGGCTTACTATAGATATTTTAAAAGTGACTTGCCAGACAACAGCATACTGACAAAGGACAATAAATCTAATCTCAGACAAAAAGAGTTTAGAATGTTTCTAAGAGGAAAAAAAAAAGCAAATTAATAGTTACTGTAGTAACTGCAAGAGCCAGTAGAAAAGAAGTAAATATTTAAGGGAAAGAGAACAACTTATATTGATCTTTTTCCTACTACTGAATGTTTTACAAGTAACCACAAACTCTACTGTCAGAGAAGAGAATCTACAGATTTTTATAAGGAAACAGGGAAAAAACGCACAAGAGATGTTAGTGGGCAAATAAAATGAATAAATCCAGGTATTAGATAATTCAAACTTGAGGGCAGGGGTTCTTCACCATTTTTGTGTCATGGATCCCTCTGGCATTAGTGTCATGAAGTCTACGGACCCCTTTCTCAGAATGCTTTTAAATGCATAAAACACATAAGATTACAAAGGAAATTAATTGTATTATTGAAATACAGTTATCATTTTTTTTTCTTTGCTTAGGCAATGGGGTTAAGTGACTTGCTCTGGGTCACACAGTTAGTAAGTGTTATGTGTCTGAGGCCGGATTAGAACTCAGGTGCTCCTGAATCCAGGGCCGGTGCTCTATCCACTGCGCCACCTAACTGCCCCAAAATATTTCCTAAAAAACAAAACCAAGTCCATTGATTGCAGATTAAGAATCTCTGCTTTAGGGTATTAGTCAGTGCCTCAGGTTCAGAATTTAGTACTCCTTGGTATACCAAGTGAGGAGGGTTGGATGGAGAAGATTCCAAGTTGATATACCTTGGGTTTGACGCTACTTAGAAGTCTGAGTTTTTGTTTCTGTTCTTCAAATTGGCGTCGTTTTCTTTCTTCTTCTAAGAGTTTTTGCTGCTGTTCAAATCGTTTTCTAAAGGAAACATAATACAACAAACAACCATATCAACTATGCCATATACATAAACTGATAAGATGACTTACTAACAGAGTAATGTACCTCTACTACTACCTTGTGTGGTAACACAGTTGTAACTCTAAAATGTCTAATTTTACCATCGTGACATTTCCATCTCTACTCCTTTTACAAAAAAAAATTTTAAACTTATTTCAAACTACTTCTTCTCTTTCCCGTCTTTCTTCTCTCTACTGAAAAAGAAAGGAAAAACAAAACCCTCATCCAACAAATAAGCCTAATCTAATTCTGATATTGGCCATGTCCAAAACTGTGTCTCAATCTGCATATTAGCCCATCACCTCCCTGTCACAAAGTAGATAGCATACTTCATTACACTCTTATACCATAATTTGTTCAGCCATTCTCCATCTGAGGGGCATCCTCTTAGTTTCCAGCTCTTGGCCACCACAAACAGAGCTGCTATAAATATTTTTGCACATTATTAATCCTTTTTCTTCTTATTTGATCTCTTTGTGATATAGGTCTAGAAGTGTTATTGGTAGGTCAAAGGGAATACATAGTTTAAGAACTTTTTTGGGATAGTTCTATACAATGGCTGGACCAATCCATAGCACCACCAACAGTGCACTGATTTGCCTGTCTACCCCTGCCTACTATACCCCTACCCTTTCAACATTTGCAATTTTCCTTTTTTTTTTTACTAACTTTGCCAATATGATGAGTGTGAAGTGGAACCTCAGAGTTCTTTTATTTTGCATTTTAAAAATTATCAGTGATTTGAAGCATTTTTTCATATGGCTATAAATGGCTTACATTACTTTCCTTGAGAATTGCCCATCCTCTGACCATTTAGCAAATGGGAAATGGCTCTTATTCTTACAAATTTGAATCAGTTCCTTATATATCTTGGAAATGAGATCTTTATCGGAGAACCTAGCTCCAAATATTTTCCCCTGATTGTTTCTCTCCTAATCTTAGCTGCATTGGATTTATTTGAGCAAAAACTTTTAAACTTTATGTAAAAAAAATATCTAGTTTATCTTCTGTAATCCTTTCTCTCATTCAGTCATGAACTTTTCCCCATCCACTGATCTGAAAGGTAATGTATTTCTTGTTCTTCTAATTTATTTTTTGACTTAAAAAATACTAGATCATATATCCATTTGAAGTTTATCTTGGCATACGGTATAAAGAAGTTATTTAAAACTAATTTCTGCCAGACTGTTGTTCAATTTTCCCAGCAAATTTTGTCAAATCAGTGAGTCCTTACCCCAGTAGCTGGGGTCTTTAGGTTTATCAAACATGAGGCTGTTAGGTTTATCTGCATGAGCATTTGATGTTTTATGTTATGTTATGACCCAATCTGTTCTGATTACCCATTCTATTTTTTTAAAGGAGTACCAGATTGTTCTGATGATGACAGCTTTTATAGTAGAGTTTGGGTTCTGGTACTGCTAGCCCTCTTTCTTTTCTCCACTATTTCCCTTGAGATTCTTGATCTTTTGTTCCCCAAGATGAGTATCATTTTTTTTTTTAGTACTATAAAAAATAAACCTTTTCAGGTTTTATTGTTAAGATGCTAAATAAGTAATTTAGGTAGTATTTTAATTTTTATTTTAGTGTCTTGGCTTACCCAAGAGAAATTAATATTTCTCCAATTATTTAGGTTTGTTTTATTTCTTCAAACAGTGTTTTGGAGTTGTATTTATCTATTTCTGTGTGTAATGCGATTGACAGACTCTCAAGTATTCTGTATACTCTGTAGATTTTTAAAATAGAATTTCTTTTTTCCCCTCTCTTCCTGATGGCTTTTATTTGTAATATAGAGAAATGCTGATGATTTATGTGGATTTATTTTATATCCTGCAACTTCACTAAAATTATTATTTTTATTAATTTTTAGATGGCTCTTTAAGTATACCATTATATCATCTTAAAATAGCAATGATTTTATTTCTTCTTTACCTACGCTTATCCTATCAATGTCTTTTTCTTATCTTGGCTTCATTTCTTTATTGATTTGCTGGTAAAGACTGGAAAAGAAGGGGTACATAAGAGCATATGTCCTTTTACCCACTAAAAGTAAGTGTATAAGAAATTAGTACTGGCTTTGACCAGAATTAAACTATTGCTGATTGTAGTAGAAGAGCACAGGATTAGGAATCAATCAACTTGGGGTTCTAGTTTAGACCCTGTCAAATAATAAACTGTTCAGACTTTGACAAATCATTTCACTACTCCTGCCTCTTTCCTCACCTATTAAAATGAGTTAGACTAAATAACTAAGTTTCCACCCAGCTTTAAAAGTCTGTGATTCTAAAAAGAATTTTGAAGGAATCTGACTTTAAAAAAAGTTTCCTGATTAGAATGAGAGACACCTCTAGAAAATACTTTAAGCCAGGTGGGAGTTTTAAAAATTGGCAAATTTAAACTTCCACACAATGAGCTGTCCCAAAGTGGGATGGATTCTCTTGGGAGGTGGTGGCTTCTCTTTTTTTGGATATCTTCAACCAGAGGCTGGATGACCACATGTCTGGAATATTATAATGGGGATTCTTTCTGTACTCAATTTTTTTTCAATTAAGACGACTCTACCTGCTTTCCCTCCAGTTCCTGATCCTCTCATCTCCCACCCTATGACAAAGAAAGAAAAACAAATTGGATTCCTTGATTTTGTTTGGGTACGGTTTGTATTAGCTGCTGCAGTTGCTTCCAAGTCAACTCCTATGATTCTATAATAAATTTGAGGCACTTGTTTCTGTTGTCTATCTCTTTTTGTTCATGACTAATACACGTCACTTACTGTTGCTCTTCTGCAAACTGCTTTTGCATGTCAGGGTTATACTGCGGACCTGGGGGACGCATCCCTAAAAAAGGAGCTTGTCCCATGTAAGGCATTCCTGCTGCTGTCATTGGGCCCATTGTTATCCCTCCCTAGAAGAAAAAGAATCTGCATTAAGAAACAAATACATATTGGGTCTGTGTTGAAAATTTTTTTTAATTAAAGGAATACATGATCAAAAAAGTTCGAGGACCATGGGCTTAGATGACTGTAATGGCTCTGTAATTGTTCTCTGTAACAGTCTCTCTCCTCTCCAGTATATCCTCCAGACAGCTATCAAAATGATATTCCTGAAACGAGAAGTCTAGTCATGATATTCCCGTTCAAAAAGATTCATTGCTTTTAGGATAAAATACGAACTTTTATTTGGCATTTATGCCCTTCAAAATCTGACTCCACTCTATTTTTCCAGGCTAATCATCCACTATTCCCCCAATAGATTTTATGCTCCAGTCAAACTGACTTACTAGCTGTTCCCAGCAAACCACATTCCACCTCCTGTTTCCATGCCCTTCAACATGAAATATAATGTGCAATGCCTATTATATTCTCCTTCCTCACCTCTGCCCTCTTGGAAACCCATGCTTCCTTTAATGTTCACCTCAAATGCCACTACTTTTAAGAGACCATTCCTGATTCTCCTACTTGTTAGTGCCTCTTCTCTGCCCCCTCCCCTTCATCACTCTGTATTTTATATGTGTGTGTATCTTATTATTTATCTATGACCATATTGTATCACCCCAGAAGAATATAAACTCCATAAGGGTAGAGACTATCTGTCTTTTGTATTTATATCCCCAAGACCTAGTGCAGTACCTGTTACATAATAGGGATTTAACATGACTTGTTGATTGATGCATAGATTATATATACATTTTAGCAAAGCAATTGATTGATAAAATATTCTCATACAATTCTTGAGAGCAACTAGGAGGTGGCACAGTGGATAGAACATTGGTCCTGGAGTCAGGAAGACCTGAGTTCAAATCTGGCTTCGATACTTATTAGCTGTGTGACCCTGGGCAAATAATTTAATCCTGTTTGCCTGTTTTCTCATCTGTAAAATGAGCTGGAGAAAGAAATGGCAAAGTACTCCAGTATCTTTGCCAAGAAAACCCCAAATGTGGTCATAGACACGACTGAAACAATTGAACAACAACAAACAATTCTTGTAGAAAATATGGAGATATGGGGGCAGCTAGGTGGTGCAGTGGATAGAGCACCGGCCCTGGATTCAGGAGGACCTGAGTTCAAATCTGGCCTCAGACATATAACACTTACTAGCTGTGTGACCCTGGGCAAGTCACTTAACCCCATTGCCTAACCAGAAAAAAAAAAGCAAAAAATAAAAAAAACAAGAAAAGATGGAGATATATAGGTTAGATCAGTGGTGTCAAACTCAAATAGAAACATGGGCCATACATTAAGGATCTCTGTGGGCTACATATTGACTTAATTAAAAACCCTACACAATAACCTATGTCCTATTGTGTTTTTATTTATTTTGTTAAATATTTTCCAATCACTGTACATTTTAATCTGGTTCCAACCTCACTAGGGAGTGTTGCTGCCATGTGTTTTACACCATTGGGCAAGATGATAGTATAATTAGATGGATTCAGAACAATGGAAACACAAACGTGGAGAGTAGTCATTAATGGTTCAATATCAACTTGGAGGTTGCCAATAGGGTGCCCAAGGGATTTGTGCTTGGTTTCCTGTTGTTTAACATATGGGATGCATAGTCACCATCATGGATGAAAGTCAGAACACAGGAAATCTTGAAGGACTAAAGCACTGGGTGGAATCACTTAGGATGAAATTCAGTAGGGATAAATACCAAGTCTTACACTTAGGTTAAAAAAAATTAACTTCACATGTATGTGAAGGGGGAAGGCATGGTAAATACAACAACAACAACAGCAACAACAACAATAACAAAACACCCAAACCAGGTTATATAAAAAAAAAATTGTGGGGTCAAGGTGAACTATAAGCTAATTGTGTTCACTTCTGTACATCATAGTTTAGGAAGGATACTGATAAACTGGCTAGTATACAGAATAGGGCAACCAGGATGGTGAAGGATCTCAAGTTTATGTTAAATGAGAATTGTTTGGCCTTGAGCTTACATTCAGCGGAAACGGGATAGCTGTGTTCAAGTATTTGAAGGCTATCACATGGAAGAGAAATTGGATTTGTTCTATTTCGACCAGAGCAATGAGTACAAGTTGTAAAGAAGCAAATTTAAACAAACCACCTAACAATCAGAACTGTGGGGTACACTGCCTTGGGAAGTAGGAGGCTTCCTCTTATTGGAGATATTCAAGAAGAGGCAGGATTCCCACTTGCCAGGTATTCTTTTTTGGTATAGACTGGACTAGATGGTAACTGAAGACTCTTCCAACTCTAAAATTTTGTCATTCTGCAATGTCCCCTACCTATTCCATGATTTTTTGTACCTTCCCTTGAGCTGTTCTTCCTCTAGCCTTTTACTAAAAGGCTCTCCCCACTTTTCTACACCTGTTCCAGATGGTCTGAGGAACCAGGAAGATCTGAGTTCTTGTACAACCTCTGACACAAACCGCCTGTCACACTAGCTCTAACACAAACTTGTTTAGCAACTCACTTAACTTGTCAGTGCTCCAGGCAACTTCTTAAGACTAAGTTGTAGAATCATCTTTTTTTTCCTTAAAACTCTACTATGTTACAGAAATGTTTGTTTTGTTTATTAAGTTCAGAATAAAATAAATAAAAGAAAAAAAGACTAAGCTGTAGGGAAAGTGCTAACCTACACTGAGAGACCCAGGTTCCTCACCTAGAAGTTCCCCATACCAATGACTGCAGAGGTCCATCCTTAACCCCTATCTAAATCTTATTGTTTAAGGCATACTCCAAAAGTCCTGATTACTTTGGCCCAAACTGATCTTTAAACTCCTCTTAAGTTCTAGAACACTTACTACAAAATCATGAAAATGAATGTGTTTTCTGAGGCAGAGCATACAGGACAGTCCCTAACTATGTCTGCCTGATACATATATTCTTTACATACAAGAGACCTAATAACAGCCCCAACTCTGCCAATGACTATGTGACTTGGCTAAGTCATGTCACCTCAATGAGCTTCAGTGTCCTTCTCTGTAACATAAGCTAGACTGGATATAATCAGTAAACTAATCAGCAATCTTAGTTCCTCCAAGATATAACATGCTATGAGTCTATGAACTACTCTGCTCTCTCACTGAGGGGCAGAGGTGCCCCTTCATTCTTAAAGACTGCGAGAGGATTTCAAGCCCTGGTAGGTTTCACATCCTGATGGAAGGGCTTCAAATATGAAGCTGGCAATGAGTGATGTATTTTTCATCCATTGATCGATATAGCTAAGTTTGGAGAAGCTCATCACATGGTTAGCTTCAGGGTGATTAATTTTGTGGTGAATGAAGTATGTCTACTTAAGAAAAATGACAATCTTAGTTGTCAAGGAAAGTGACCATACTGAAAAAAATTACAAATCAAGGAAATACTAAAGTTAATGTACACAATGGTCACATGGTACCACTTCCAGTCTAAACCCCTCAGCCATTACCCATGGAAGCAACTCTTGCAAGTCAAACTGCCTCCACCATCTTGGCTGCCATCTTCACTCACACCTTGATGGACACAGTCCAGGACACAAAACCCAAGCCGCTTAAGAACTGTAGTGTCTCCCCACCCCATCCCCAATCCCCAGCCCTGATTCTAGTCCAGTCCCTGTAGCTACCACCCAGGGGAGAAATCATTGTGGAGAAGGGGGTCAAGGTTCTTCCTCACAACCAACAACTGTTCACCAACTATCACCAACAGACAGGTAGGCAGACATAAAAGTCCTGGGAGTGGCAGCACTCCTCCAAGCCACTAGTTCTGCTTCTAGCCTTGTCTTCACAGCCATTGTGTGTGTGTTTGTATGCACACGCATGCATGCACATGCCTATGGAGAAAGGACCAATCAGTCCCACCAAATGCTAGCCACAGAGCAGGCTAGCTTGCTGAAGCAATAAAGCACCTTTAAAGATGGGAGGTAGCATAGGCCAGGCAAATCAAACCCTTAGTACTACCTTGACTATTACCTCTACCCAGACCCCGCTGGAGATAGCCATCTTGAACCAGTAGCCTTAGGATAAGCATCACTTCCAGCCCACTGTCTTCAGGTAAATCATCCTGGGAAGCAATCCTTGTGGAGGTGCAGCCTAGCAACTGTTCCTGCAGGTGCTCTAGCCACAGTTACTAAAGACTTAGAAAAGAAAAGGCCAAAGCCACTGGCACTGTTGAAATGGTTCAACATCAGAAACTGATATAATTTTATTTGTGGAAATGACATCAAAGAACAGGTATTAACATTTCTTTTGCTGTTACACCTTAAGGACCATGAGACCTTTCTATTCGACTTGTAGTTGAAACCTTCCGTATGTGTTATCTACCTCAATAGAATGAGAACTCTTTAGGACTAGGGACGTCTTACTTTTCTATTTTATCTCCAAATCCTGGCACAGTGTTTTATACATAGTTAATTGTTTAGTAAATGCTTCATTCATTCCTTTAAACCCAGCAGGAGTTTGGATATATATTTCCTTACTATTTATTTATCCTCCAGAATTCTTGTTATAGTTTTTAGGAGATTTATTAAGTCTCCTTAATATATTCTCCTGAAATACAGAGGCATCTGACTTCAGCTTTTTGTATACCTAAGATCCACCACTATCATCTATGTAACTCTTTATTTCATTAAGAATCTAAAAACGTAGTGAGAGGGATGCAAAAGATAAAGAAAGAATTTTTATTCTCAATGTTGCCCGAATGAAAATCCCTGAAAATTAAAAAACAAAAACAAAAACAAAAACAACCAACCAATCAATCCAAAGGGGCTGGTTTCTTGTTTCCAGGATAGGGAGATGGCAGGGTTGGGGAGAAGGGACGTTCTGAGACGGTATATTATTCAGCAAAGGAGAGAAACCCTGGTCAGAAACAAAAAGTTGTGGCAATGGAAAAGGAAAAGGATCAGGCCTTAGAAAAAAGAAACTGAGGAATAAGGAACTAGGCTAGAAATGGAAGCATA